ATTTAAGCTAGAGAAGAAAGACTTTTGTTTGAAAAGGGCCATTTATTAAGTTATAAATTAATTTGGAGGGAAACTACATTGTTTTCATAATGCAAACTGTAGAAAATAAAGATCGACAAAACCTCCTTGGCCGGTGGGGAATTACAAAAGGAGGTTTAGAAGACATTTGGGACAAGTCCACAGTTAATAGAGTATTTGTCATTTGTTTGTCAGATCATACAAGTGACTGTCATCTTTGATATATTTTAGACACCTATTTCTATCACAGCTCATAATTGTTTTGTGTTTTATGGTAAGTAGACATTTTGTTTCAAAATAAGGTTAATTTAATTTTCAGGTTACAACATAATACATATATTTTTAAAAAGGTCTTTGAGCCTTTGAGCCTACTGTTGCCTTTGTGTGTGTGTGTGTGAGGGGAGGGCTACGTATTCATTCTATACCATTCATCTCACTGATACCTAAGTGAGATCGTCTCAATCTGGCCCTGTGCACACCTACATAGGATCCCTCAAGGAATGTGGTCTCCAGAAATTAATGCAGACTCCAAAATCTTCCCAGCCCAGAGAAAGAAAGGATAACTGTCCCCTCATTTCTAAACATTTGCTATGGTTTGGCTGGACTAAGCCTAAGTACCCCACGATATACCACAATGAGATTAATAGCATGGTCTTCTCCACAGGTACACAGATGGTAAAATACTAGGTTGTCAGAAAAGCCATGACATATTTTCTATGTAGAAATGCATCGTGACTTTTCCAACGACCCCACAGCTAAATCAGCCTATTTTTTCTTTCATTTACTTAGTACAGTCTCATTCAAATCAGGCAAGTGGCTACTCACCTAAGAATAACCACTGTACATTTCAGCTTGAAAATGGCAATACATTCATCATTTTCCTGTAAGGCTAGGGGGTACGAATTTCTGGTGCTGGAATTTCTCCATTCTAATTCCTTCAACAAGCACTTCCTGAACACCCATTACACGCAAAGACCCTGGGAATACTGTATTTAGAATATTTTCATCTATAACCATAAACTTCTATGTAAATCCATAGATCTGATTTTATTCAAAGCATCATCATTTTTATACCTTGTTTTAATTTTCAAAGCATTTTCTCATTTTTCATCCCTTTATAATGCTTGCATGATTCTGTGTGGGTGAAGGCATTCCCTAGTGAGGCAACGTGTCATTACAGTGCACATTTCAGCAATCTGCACCTCAAACTTCAATCAATTGGCCTTAAATTGTAGGAACTATTTGTTTCCTAAACAAATTGTCCACAGCCCCAAGTTTCTCTCAAGAGTCTCATCTAAACTTATTCTTTGGAAGTCAATATGGAAAGGGATACTTATCATCACACCTGTGGTTATCTGCTGACTGTTCTCACACATTCAATAAATACTTCTTGACATCCTGTTTGGGTAAACTCTGTAACCTGGGAAGAGTGAAAAGCTCTGTGGCCATGCAGACTTGGGTTTGAGCCCTGGCTCTACCACTGTGTGACGTTGGGAAACTTGATCTGCCAGGACCTTGGTTTCACCATTGCTGAAACGAAGATGACCTCATACTTGCTTCACAAGGCCGTGATGAGGATGAAATTAACATCATGTGATATGCACGTTAGGGTGATGGCACCCTAACGAAGCAGTCATGTCCCGCTCCCATTCCCCAGAGCCTCAAGGTTTCCCTGAGAAACAGGGCTACTACCCCCACTACCTCATGGACATAATCTAGATCATACGCTGTCTCTGTCTCGGGGTGCCCCAGTTCACACTGAAAGCCTAGCACTGTCCTTGTGTCCTTGCAGCACATGTTCAATAAATGCTCCTCTCCTGAGTTCAGGTCATCAGCCTCCAGGCACTGTAGTACCAATGACACAAGAGGCTCCCAGAGGTAGGAGAGGGTCCTGACCTTCTTGCCTTCAACCTCAAAATCAATTGAGTAACCCCTCAAATCCCTTCATTATTTTTCTTTTTAAAAATTTTGTCAGAAGGTATGTATGCTCACCATGGAGAGAAAGACAGATAGGGAGAGGGAGAAAGCACTCCCCACATGGGGTGTAGTCACACCACAATCCCTTCCTCTCCATCTCTTCATCCCGTTGGGACTTTGCACATACATGTACACACCTGTGGTGTGTTTTTCAAGTTACCAGGGCCAGGACTCAAACCCTATGGTTGGCTGCATGGGATCTGGCTCCCTTAACCACTAGGCGACAGGGTCACACAATCTGCAACAGTTTCTAAATCAATTAAGAATGTCATGCAGGGACCAGCAGGTGGCGTGGTGGTTAAGGTGCTGGACACTCCCACATGACCAACCACGGTTCGAGTCCTGAATCTGGTGGCTTGCTTTCTTACTTCCTCTCTCTCTCTCTCTCACCCTCTGTCTCTCTCTGATCAAATTCAAAAGTAAATGAATGAATAAATAAAAATAATTATTTTTTTTAAAAAAAGAGTGTCATGCTACAGCTGCAATTCTGAAAATAAGATTATCCCTATTGGTTACGAAGACCAACCAACACCTTAACAGTTCCATCAGTATAGGATATTAGGTAGTTCTTGGAAAACAGAAGGAAAAGGAGATGCAACACTGCCCCAGATGAACAGGGGACAGAGCGCCACCCCCCTCACCGCTGGCCAGCAGGATGTCTACACACTGCTTCTAACTTTGCAATATTTACTTCTTGATTTCTTTATCTCTATTACAATGGATGTCCAGCTCACAGAGGAGGATGTCTACACACTGCTTCTAACTTTGCAATATTTACTTCTTGATTTCTTTATCTCTATTACAATGGATGTCCAGCTCACAGAGGGGGGACGTCTACACACTGCTTCTAACTTTGCAGTATTTACTTCTTGATTTCTTTATATCTATTACAATGGATGTCCAGCTCACAGAGGGGGGGATTCTAATGTGAGAGCATAGGCAGAAACTGCCTAGAGAAGATAAGAAATCCCTGACTGTGTTAGGTATACCTGGTTTGAGGGGGTAACATGGTGGTCTTCAAAAGGTTCATAAAACGTGTGTATTATGAAGAAACTATGCATAGATTTCAAAAAATGTTTGCACCAAAATAAACTTGTACTTTAATTCCATTTCAACATAAACTTTATGAAGTCCCTTACATTACTCCTATACAGAACTTTTTTGGGCAAACTAACATGTAAGGGCAGCCAGGGTAAACTATAAGAAGAAATGGAAGGAAGGGCCATGTGCAGATGGGTAACTGTCAATTCCCATGGTGAATGGGGATGGGGAAAGGACTCCCAGTGCCCTGTTCTCCTGCAGGGTTTATTCCATTCTCTTCTCATTTTAAATCTCTGTAACTACAATTCTTAAGAGATCTGTTGATTGCCATGAAGTTAAACATGAAAGCACTCGGCACAGAACCTGGCATGTAGATGGCACTCACTAAAAGTTGGCTGAATTTGATTTCAGAACCACACACTTACTATTCTCCTGAAAAATTTGGCCACCAGCTTCCTAACACCCCAAGTCGGAATTTCTTATTGGATTCTCAACTCTGAGGCCCTTAACTACTGGGCACATCCCACACTGGGAGAGATGTGAAGGAGAATGTACTGGGGTCTAACACCGCCATGTGGCTCTGTGCATTTCCTGAGTCCAGACACAGACTACCCAAAACCAAGGGTTCGGGTAGCACTGATGAGTGACGACCACTTCATTGGAAGAACCAGAATCAAAAGACACAGTGAGGTCTCAAAAGCTATGACCATCCCAGAGAAGCAGGCAGAAGCCCTTACATTGCTGATGTACTCGAGAGGGGTGAGACTGAAGGCAGGCAGGTCATCTGTTAGGGTTTCTCCAATGCCGGCTGTGTTCCAGCTCTAGGGAAGGAAGGAGAGGCAACGGTCAACAACACGACAGCCAGGCAATGTGCGAAGGTGCCCTGTAAAAATACAGGAAGAAAGTGGCCTTTCTTATAGGCACTGTCTTTGACCAGAGAGGCCCTCTGGTACTACCACTATGGAGCAGGCCAGGGGCTTCTAGCCCACCACAGAGAAAGCAACCCCTCACTCTCTGCATTACTGCAGATCCTTAAGACTCTGCCTTCTCAGCTAAACTACCAGGTAGGAAAGAACGGATTCCTTTAATCTCACTAAGAATGTGAAGTGAGAGTCAGATATCCTTCGGAGTGAGTTTCTCTACATGGTGGGGTCAGTGTGTACAAAAGCTGCTTGGCACAGGCAGTCTCACTAACTCCTGGGTCTTTGAGCTCTAAAGAGAACAGGAACGCCTGTGGTGCTCCACGCCGAGAGGAGGGAGGCTGAGGGAGCTTCCCTGGCTGTAGGAATATCCAGTTGGCTCATTCACCAATCCTGCTTTACAGGAATTGAAGCTGTTGCTTTGATTTCAATCTGCCTTCTGGATTTATTTCTCAGCTGATTCAGGATTCAGAGGGAAAGGGATAAAATGGAGCTTCCAAACCCAACAGCTGCCCCCGGTGAGCCCCCTGCCTAAAGAGCGCCTCAGCGCCAACAGAACAAAGTGGGAAGTGGAAGCAGCTGCCAGTCACCAGATGAGCCTTCTCAGCACTCTGCTAGTTAGGTAAGCTGCAGGTACACACGTGCACACAGCGTCAGCCTGGCACACCTGAACAGACCCAGTTTCTGAACTCCGAATGAGCCACTCTACAGGCAGCCTGGACAAGGCCCTTTCTGGCTGGCCTCTGGGGGTGGCTCCTGAGGTTCAGTGTAGCTGATCTCCGCTGCCAGATGATGCCCGATCCAGTCACTTGATCCTTTCAGTAGCACTCTGGGAATGAACGACCACGTCCACCCCGGGCTCCTGGCTCAGGCAGAGCCTCGGGCATGCCTCTCCACGTCCTCCAGCACCAACTTGTTCTGCTCCCGTTTTCTTTGTGGCAGGAGACAGCTTTTCTTCCCTGTGCTAGCCTCATACCCCTACACTAAAATTTTTCTAGATTCCCGTTTGTCTTTGAGAAACCTTTCATTTCAAAATAGCCTTCTTCGGGAACCAGCAGTTGGCATAATGGCTATGTCGCTGGACTCCCACGTAGTCGACCGCGGTTCGCGTCCCGGACCCGGTGGCTTAAAACTCACGCCAGGCGCGTGTGCGTGCGTGCCCAAGATCCCGAGAGGAGAATGGAGGAGAAGGGATTGCAGCGTGGCCATCCCCCCTGGGGGGTGATTTCTCGCTTTCTGTCTCTCTGTCTCTCTCTGTCTGTCTGGCGAGCGCACGCACCCTATAGCAAAAACCTCTCCAAAAAAAGAAAAAAAACCCAACTTCTTCGTCCCACTTAACTCCCAATGTACCTGAAAGACGCTCCTGCATTCAGCTTTACCAATTGCCCATGATGCACTGCGTCTCATGCTAGGAAGATTGCAACAAATCTAAGACTTGGTCCTTGCTCTCCGGAAGCTACTTGGGGAAGCAAGACCCCAATCCACTCCTACTCTGTCCTCCACGGTTCAGTCCTCTCTTCCCCACCCCATCTCTGTGCACACACACAGAGTTCTCAGTGTCAGATGCAAGGCTGCATACAGTGAGAGCTCAGAGGAGGGTTAGAGAAACACAAGCCACAGGACACACATGGTGCCCAGCAGCAGAAATAAGCCTGGAAGGAGAATGCACAGCTTTGAATGCGGGGCTAAGAAAAGGCTCTACCTTCAGTAAATAAGTTGCAAGGAGATGGAAGAGAAATCTGTAGATCAAAGAGACATAAAGAACTCATCCCTTAATCCCAGTGTACAGGATCCTGGATCTGAGGTCCTGACCAGATGGTTAAAATGTGACATTTATAAGATGATTGGAATTTGAATACTCATGAATGATATTAAAAAATTATTTTTACTTTTCAGGGATGACTATGGTATTGAGAAAGTTTCTGTAGTCCTTATGTTGTAGATAAGGAGCGATCTGTAAACGAGGATGGCCTGAAGTTGATCATCACTGAATCTGGGTCGTGAGTACATGGAGCTCCTCACACACTGCTTTCACATGTGTGAACATTTCCAAAATAAAAAGTTTAAAAAAATGAATTACCAGGTGTGGTGGTGAAGGTGCTGATCTCCCACATGGCTAACCACAGTTTGGGGCCTGGATCCAGCAACCTGAAAATCAGTCCGGACACATGTGCATGCATGGCCAAAATCCCAAGAGGAGAACGGAGAACGGACTGTGGCTGGCCATCCCCCAGGGGGTGATTTCTCACTTTCCCTCCCTTTAGCCAGCACACCTGCCCTGTGCCCTATGGCAAAAACCTAAAATCAAACAAACAAAAGACAAACAGACTATCAGACTGGCCCTAGGGAGCCAGGAATGGGGAGGGACAAAATCAGAGCAATGCTCGTGAGGAGAACTGGGGTCGGTAGCAGATGAAAAGCTGAAAAACAGCTCAGAGAGGGTGTGAGCGCACGCGAGGGTAGCAGCCACGGAGACAAAAGGAGACGGGTGGAAAGGAAGAAATGGTGATACATGGTAGCTCAGAGGTCAGAGGAGGGTAGTGAGGGGGCCGAGGTGGTGCCAGGCAGAGAATGGTGGGAGGAAGCATTGGCTCCATGAGACCAAGGACTACACCGTGGCCCAGGGCAGGAGCAAGGACTGACGTGTGAGGTCAAGACAAGTGCTGCAGGCCAGAGACCCCTGAACAGCTTCAGCGAGGGGGTCGCGGAGCAAGGCCAGCTGAGGTGATCAGGTGGAGGGGTGGGGGAAAGGAGAGCCAGGGTGGAAAAGAAGAGTGGAAGAAGGGCGAGACGGAGTGGCCTGGGTCAGGGAGGGACTCAAAGGGCAGCAGTGAAGGTGCACTTGAAGAGGGCCACAGGGAAATGCCGTAGATTATTTTTTAATCATTCACAATTTATTTAAAATGTCTTTCATGGGGCTGGCAGGTGGTATGGTGGTTAAGGGTGCTGGACTCCCACATGGCCGACTGCAGTTCAAGTCCCAGACCTGACAGCTTGCTTTCTCACTTTCCCTCTCTCACTTGCTCTCTGTCCCTCTGTGGTGAAATTAAAATAAATAAAGTTAAATAAAATAATTATTTGGGAAAAAATGTCTTTCAAGTAAGCTTTTCTATCCATCTGTCACCAGGTAATACGCATAGGCTTTAGTAATCTATTTGGAAATTGAATATTGTGTTGGTTTATGGTTTTGTAATACAGAAGAGCAATATGATTTACCAGCAAATGTTAAAAACAAACATTGAATGACCAGGGCTTGATTTTCAAATCCTTAAGGCTGAAGTGTTTGCCCGTGCATTGTGTGCTGGTGCGCTGATACACCCAGAGCCCCTCCTCATCTCCAGAGCTGCCTGCGCCCTTCCCAGCGACCGCGGGACTGCAGTGAATGAGGGGAGGTCCAGGCAACTGAACTGAGTCAGAATAAAGAACTCTGGAATGCAGAAGTAGAGGGAACAGGACCAGTGGGAAGCACTGAACCTGTTCAAACGCAGACCCAAGAGACCAATAACTACTAGAATTAAGGTTTCAGAACAGAAGGCCAGTATCTTCAGCTTTGCCACAATAAATATTAAAAGTAACCAAATACGGAGGTGGGGAAGAGATATAAGGAATGCTAACTAATCCCCTCACCTTTCAGAGCAGGTGAGTCAGTACCAACATCCGTCTGAAATGGAAACATGCTTAACAGAAAGCAATGACTCCAATCTCTCAATAGTTTTCATAATCTTTTGGTATTAGCCTTGGAAAGACCTAGAAACTCCCATCTTTTGTGAAGATGAATCAATGATCTCAAGTTCAACAATATTGTTGTCTAAAGGATCTCTTGGTTATTAAAGGCCTGTAATTGGAATCCAAATGAACTGAAGGTATCAATAAGACAGATGAACTGGCGGGGAGGGGACTGCTCTACCCAGTAATCCAAAAGGCAAGTGGGGAAGACAGAGCAAGCAGAGAAACTAGGACTGATAGGCAACGCCTTGGAAAAGAATTAGGGCAGTCTGAAGAGAGAAGAGGGTGCCAGGGGAGGAAGGTGACTCTGAAAAGAGCCAAACAGAAGAGGTATCAAGGAAAGGAAGTAGCAGCACCATCCAAGGCCCCCATAGAAACACAAGCTCAAATCTGACAAGGCATTCCCCTGAGTAAAGTTCCAGAACTAATTCCCACAAACATTTTGTGTGGCATGAAAATAATTCAGTCTCGAAAGACAGCAAGCTCTACTGACCTGGCCTAGCCTGTGCAGGGCACGTAATCTCCCTTACTTCTCCCGACAGGGCACAGCTGTGCTGCCCCAAATGGGGAAAGTTAATCAAGCAATAATCCTAAGAAACAGCCCATAAATAAAGTACCAGAGTAACCACAATTAAGATAAGACATTCATGCACTGAAATTCATTAAGCTGAAGTGGGAAAGTGACTCTTTGTAGCCTACGAGAGTAATAGTGGGATCCTCCCAAGGCTCTGGAGGCAGGGAGGGTTAAGCCTACACTGGAATCTGCTTGAGGAGGCAGGACTAGAGCGGCCACCACCACAGTCGGGGACTCACGTCCATCTTGGAAACCAGTAGCAGCTGCTGTTTGATGCGCAGGAACACGGAGTCGAAGGCCAGCTGGTGGGCCTGCTGGTTAAGCCGAGTGAGGGCTGCTCGAGACGCAGACAGCAGGTTGTGATTACTCGACCCTTTTTCCTAAGGAAATGTGAAAGGCAAATTTGTTAAGCCCTGAATTCAACCAAGATATCAGCTAATTACACATTCTGAAAAGTCACTGGAAGGAGGATCGTGAGGGAGAGTTCCATACAGTGGTGGTGGCTAAGCTGGGCTGGGCCCCAGGTCCCCTGGGGAACACACTGAAGTTCAGACATACACACGCCACCCCAGAGCTACTGGATCAGAGTCCACTAGGAGTGGAGTCCAGAAATATGTATTTCTTTTTCCTTTTCTTTTTTGGAGAGGTTTTTGCTATAGGGTGCGTGTGCTCACCAGGAAGACAGAGAGAGACAGACACATAGAAAGCGAGAAATCACCCCCCGGGAGATGGCCACGCTGCAGTCCCTTCTCCTCCATTCTCCTCTCAGGATCTTGGGCACGCACGCACATGTGCCTGGTGTGAGTTTAAGCCACCGGGTCCGGGACTCGAACCGCGGTCGACTACATGGGAGTCCAGCGACATAGCCATTACGCCAACTGCTGGTCCCCAGAAATATGTATTTCTAGTTCAGTTTTCCAGGTGATTCTGATGCATCTGGTTGAACATGGGTTTATGGATTGGCAGTTTAGGGATAATGAACCTGTGACTGTCCCTCAAGGACAGAGGAGGTGGGAAGAAAGGATCAGAGACTTTACAAATAAAACTAGAGAGGCTGGATGGTGGAACAGTGGTAAAATGCAACACTTTTCGAAGCAACCCTACATGGGAACGTTCCCAGTTCAAGTCTGGAGACCTCCCAGAGTATGCGGGATACATGTTCATGATTTGGGGATGGCTGAGGGCTAGAGGTGAATCATGGTGTGACAACCCTATTGGGGATACTGTCTCTCTGTCTCTTGACTCATGGTAGAATTAAATATACTTTAAAAAAAAAAAAAAAAAAAAGCCTGAATGATGAACACAGCCCTGATTCCCAGGCAGGTCAGGCCAATTATACTTGGCTAAAAGCCAAACTACGTATAACCTGTGTGAGTCTCAGGGAATTTCAAACAGCCTGAGAAAATATAGGGATGGAAAATGTAACCATAGTTTTGTTCTTATAACTGAACTGATTATAACAGACATAAATCAGATTAGCAATAAAGATAAATGGAGTTACTTTGACTTAGTTACAGAAGCATGGATGAATGAGTTTACAGAACTTTCTGTTTGTCAAGCACAGATACAGCCAGTTGGCGGGCCAAGATGCAGAGATGGGAGACCCTGGAGGGCCACACAGGAGTCTCAACCCGTTCAGCAACCCCGTTTGCCCCCTGCGGAGCTCCAGGCCAGTCAGGAGAACTTGTGGTGCATTTGGGGGTGCAGGAACAGCAGTGATTTCTCTACCTAGCACCCACAGAATGAAGGGCAAACCAGACCAGGGAGGTAGGGGTAGTTCTGGTAAGGACGCAGCGGCCCTCTCATAACCCTGTCAGTTCTCGGGAGCTGTGGCTCATTCCATTTGTTGGGAACGTCCCCTGTCCCTGGTCCTGCGGCCCAAAGCTCCAAGTCAAGGGCAGGTTTATGGAAGACAAACTAAGAGTTTAAAGAAAAGCCAGGAGAGGACACTGATCCCCGACACGGAGGGACGAGCCCTGGAGGACACGTCTCTCCACCCTTGCTCCTCCCCGGGCTGGAGAGCGACTCTGCCAACGACTGGGTCCAGGTCCTCTTTGCTGGTTCTGCCTGCGCACAGGCAGTACACATCTGGACTCTCCTACACCATCCGGTAAAGGGGAATGCCCCTCAGGGGACCCGAGGGCAGTCCAGCCCCACGTCCTGCTGACAAGTTTAACACTTCAGTGAAGTACAGCAAGTCCCTGTAGCTGCAGACCAAAAGCCACGTTCTCCAACCTGGCTTTCTACCAGTACAGAGATCCATCTAGGCCGGCCCATCACACAGCAGCTAAGCGCAGTGCACCAAGGGCTGGATCCCACACGGGCATTGCAAATCCTGGCCCCTGTGGCTGGAGAAACACACACTGAGAGCATGTGCATGTGTGCCCCAACCCCTGACCGGATAGAGAACTGGAGGAAAATAACTGCAGCATGACCACGCCCCCTAGGGGCTGTTTTCTCGCTTTCCCTCTCTCTCTGATTTTGCTGAACACTCTGGCAAGTGAAAAAAAAGAAAAGAAAAAAAGATCCATCTATCCCACTCCTACAGCTTTATCTCAGTAGGTTTCAGCCCAGTTTAGTTCATTAGCTCCTTAAAATCCCGACACAAATGAAACAAAGAAGTGGTGGCAGGGCCTGTGACAGCTGGAGGCCCACACACAGAGTCAGAAGCCTGGATCCTGGAGAGGGCGAGTGACGAGGGAAAAACTTTCATTTGTACGAATGCCAGCCGGCTGGTCTCATACCTTGAGGGTATAAAGTATTTCCATTAGACTGGCATATTCAGCAGGGTTATCTTTCTGGAGGTAATTATATTCTTGCCATGGGTTCTTGGCAGTGCTCTTCTTATCTGTCAAGATGCTATCCTGAAAACCAGCCAGGCTCCGCGGGCTGTAGGAGTCGGAGAGGTACTTCCCGGCTGTGGACAAAATCCTGAAATGAAAGTGAGGACCATTATGCCCTGAGCTCTTTGTACGGAACTTTCTTCGGGGAGCAGTCAGGTTGCTCCTTACTAAATCTCAGAACATCCCCCTCTGAGGCAGACTGAATTCAGGTCCAGTCCATAAGGAAACAAAGATGTGCTCCTTCCTTATGTAGCAATGAGTGGGACCCTGGTCCACAAAAACCCACAAGTGTTTCTTGTTCCGATTCAACACTCATGCCACCAGAACATGCCATCTTCCTAACTATGCGGACAGGCAGCTGACACAGGACAGTTCTCAGGACACCAACTGGAGCCCTCGCACCTTCTATGCATACCCTGCTCGCTGGACAAGCCTCACGGTGTGGACTAGTCAAGCGCCAGGGTAGGCCCCAGGCACACAACTGCAGAAACTTCTAGGCAGGGCAGAGGGCTGCTGTCCCTGGGGAAGATGGTGGCAGCTCACTGCACGCCTCTTTATCCACGGGACTCACCCATTCTGTGCTGGGCCTGTGCAATGTTTGTTTCAACAAGCGTTGTAATGTTCATTTTTGTGGTTTGGGTGCTACAGAGGGATCTACTGAGAGAAGCCAGCACTTTCCAATTTCAAGAAAGAACGCCTAAAGGAAGTTCACGTTATAATCATCCTCTTGTACTGCTGGGAAGGTGACTCTACCTCCAACAAGGATGACCTGCCCCTGATGGCGAGGCTCCCCCACTCTGAGTTTCCTCAGCCCAGTTTCACCATTCATCCTACACAGATGCAAACAGAATTATGCGAACATATGTAACCAGGAGAAAAGATATTGTAACATATCCCAAATTTTAATTCCTGGATCCCTGCCCCCTTGGTATCACTTCTTATAAAAAATTGCTTTGGAGACCAGCAGTTAGTGTAATGGCTATGTCGCTGGACTCCCATGTAGTTGACCGCGGTTTGCGTCCCGGACCCGGTGGCTTAAAACTCACGCCAGGCGCGTGTGCGTGCATGCCCAAGATTCCAGGAGGAGAGCGGAGGAGAAGGGATTGAGGCATGGCCATCCCCTCTGGGGGGTGATTTCTCACTTTGTCTCTCTTGTCTCTCTCTGTCCGGCGAGCGCACGCTCCCTACAGCAAAAACCTCTCAAAAAAAAAAAAATTGCTTTGGACATGGTAGCTTTGTGTCGCCCTCACTTTTTCAAAGACAGATCCCCTGAGTTTGTCAAGGAATGCCTGCACTTGCAAATAAACCCTGGGGTTAGGATCTTCCTGAGGAGCCACCGACAACATGAGCAGCCACCTGCCTTTACTGTGAAGGTCAAGGTAGTCTTCCCTGCTGCTTACGCCTGCCACTAGTTTTGGTTGCGTCTTCTGTCTGCACACTGTGGCCCGTCTGCCCCTAGCTTCCTTCCAATCTTCCCCACTCCTTGTCTGGATTGCAGTAACCTTCCAACGGGCTCTTTCCTCTAGTCCTTCCACACCCCATCTTATCTATTCTCCTAAGGGTCAAGAGAATGAGTTTTAAAAGGTAAATCTGATTTTGTCTTTTTCCCAAAGGTACTCTAGTTTCCAGGATAAAAATAAAAGCACCTAGCCATGGTACCCAGACTCCTCCAGCACTGCAGCCTTCCAAAACAAACATACATTCCCTCCACCCGTCCACGTGTCCAGCCTCTCCTCACTCCCTGTGCTTTCCACGCCCACATGCCTTGCTCACACATTTCCTCTGTCAGAAACGCCCTCCCCTCCTTGCACTTCTTCAAGGACTGGTCCCAAAGGCTTCTCCTCTGTCAGCCTTTAACCTCCTCACCCTGCCTGCAGCCCCAGCTGGGCACTCAGCGCTCTGCTCCCAGCAGCCTCTTGCCTCTGCTATGCACTGATCCACATGGTCTCATTCCTCTCCCATGAGAAGTGAGGGCAACACGCACCCTGGTCTTCACATCGGAATCCCTCACTCCTAGCACAGTGCCTGGCATGTAGCGGGTGCTCAGTAACTGATCACTGAATGACAGCTGACTCTGGGTTTGGTGACCGGGAAGTTGCGAGTCAAGCTTCTGTCTTTGCCTTCTGGGAAGCCAGCTCTCTTTTGCAGGGTCACTGCACTATTCCAGGCTCAGGTGGCTTGGAGGATATTGCCCTCGCTGTGTTAGCTGCCATCCAAGTGGAAGGAAACTGGATATGCCGGAAGTGTTTAAGTATTAAGGACTAGTTAAAAATGTCCGAATAGACCCAGTTGAGGCAGCTGTGCTGCTGACAATAAGCAGTATACTGAGGCCACATAAAAGGGCTCGATTCCTGGCCCATTCTAAAAGTCAGGAATGATGGTGCACACCTATAGCCCTGCTACTTGGGAGGCTGAGGCTGGAGGACCACGACAGGGCAAAAGCCTGTCTGAAAAAACGAATGTTGGAATAGTCTTCCCCGGCCTCCTTTTCACCCCTATGGCACTGATGTGGCCATGAGCACCTGACTCCTGCTGCCTGTGCTTACCAGTACTGTAACTAAGCCTCACGGGAAAGAGCACTGGTGCCTTCACTAGCCAGAGACACTTCTCACCACTGTAATGGGTTCTCCGCTAGGTCTGGGCTATCAAGTGATTAAACAGTCTTTGCCCTCAAGAAACTCAGGAATTAACGGGGGAGTCCAACATGTAGCAGGTGCTCAGTAACTGATCACTGAATGACGGGTGACTCTGGGTTTGGTGACCAGGAAGTTGAGAGTCAAGCTTCTGTCTTTGCCCTCTGAGAAGCCAGCTCTCTCTTGCCACCACGCTAGCTGCCATGCCAGGAGCAAGCAGGAAGTGTCACAGGGGAGGGAGCATTAGAACACTGTCTATTTCCTCAGTTCCTTCCTTTTCAGGGTGTTACTAACCACTCCTCAGCCAGAGAAAAGTGTACATTTATACTGGGTTTCTCCCACCTGACTGTGCCATGGAACTGTCCCACTAAGACCTCATTCTGGTGAAAAATACCACTGTTACAAAAGTCAGTGGGAGGGCACCAGCAAGTGATGTGGTTACGGTGCTGGACACTCTCACATGGCCGACCATGGTTTGAGTCCTGGACCTGATGGCTGACTGTCTCACTTTCCCTCTCTCTCTCTCTGTGTCTCTCTCTGGTCAAATTAAAATAAATGAATGAATAAATGAAATTAGATAAATAATTATTAAAAAAAAAAGTCAGTGGTGGGTACCAGGCAAGTACAGAGGAGCCACAGTGACCTCCCTCCTGTCTCTTGCCCAAGTTGTTCATGCTGAGAGAAATCTCTCAGGTGACACACAGCTCAGTCCTGCTTTACTCAGTCCATAAATCACAAAATGATCCCAGTAAAGAAGGGATCTTAATAGCCCAGTAGCCAAGGTCAGTCTTGTCGCCCAAGCAGTCTGGAACGCTCTGAGCTATTGCCTCTGCTGCCTGTGGGGAGTGGTCTGTGGTCAGAGTCTGGGATCTGCAGGTGAGATTGATGGGGAGATAAGATAAGCTTTACAGGCAGCTGCGACACATGTGCCATGTGGCCTCCCAGACAGGGACACAGATGGTGACTGTCCCTGTCCAGGTTCGGTGTTTCCAGGATGACCTCACCTCTTACAGAGGCTCCCTTGGATACACCCAGCTGTTCTCTTCTCACGCCAAAGCTGGAGCCAGGCTCTCAGCCTCTCAGGCTGCAAAACAGTTAGGAGACTCATCCTTCATCCATCACGTCCCATTCAACCTACTAATCAAACTTCTATAGCCCTTGGGATGCAATATTCACCTTGGTTAGAGGAAAATCTGTATATCCACCCATGGAAAGGTGTTGACATACAGACTTAGAGAAACACAAGTCTAAGAGTAGTGACCTGTGAGAAAAGGCAGAATGGGGGTGATATTCACACACTCTGGATGACTCAGGTAATGCCAAGGTTCAAATCACTGCTACTTCCACAAATAATTTTTTCAGGGGGCTTATAAAATGATTACTTATGCCAAAGTCTATGTCTCAATTTTTGTTTATTTGTCAAGTCAGGGATAAGAAGGGTACCTACCTTTTCAACCACTGGGGAGGTTAATGAGTTAACTCACATGAAATTCATATCATCAGAGCTCAGTAAATATTATGAAGTGGGGGAAAAGGGAGACTGTTAATGTTTTTCTCTGGAAAGAAACATTTTTAGGAAGAGGAGATTTTCAGTTTTTATTCTGAATTCTTGTAAACTGTTGACTTTTGTACTGAACTACTATAATTAAGAAAACGAAATGCTATAAGCATTTCATTCAAATCTGTGATAAAATCTCACCTCTCTTTTTAAAGAATTATTTTATTTAATTTTATTCATCATTACTATTTTTTTTAATTTATCCAGAGAGAGAGAAAGGAAAAGTGAGCAAACAAGTCAGCAGATCCAAGACTCGAACTGCGGTCAGCGCTATGGGAGTCCAGCGCCTTAACTGCCACACCACCTGCCAGCCTCAAAATCTCACCTCTTCTTCTAAGTCCTCTGAGACTAGTTGAAACTCCCTCACCCCTCCACCTAGGCTCCTCTGTCTGGGGCACGTGTGTGGGAGCGGGCCTTTACTTGGTTTATATTATTAATATTTGTATGCATCCATTTGTATGTCTGAGGTGCTTCGGCTTTATTCATTCTAGGAAGTCACATAATTTCTGCACTGGACCATCAGGGATTTAGGAACAGCTAGAGCTGCTTTCCCCAAAATGAGAACCATTACCCACAATCGTAGACTTGAAGACAGTCTGTGGGCTCAGGAAGAAGGAAGACATAGTCGTGAGAAGAAGTAACGGTCGACACAGAGGCAGACTCTGAGGCCAGCCTGCCTCCCTGCTCAGCATCTTACCCCTGCGCCCCGTGCTGCCCCAGGACCAGAGACTTCAGCTTTTATCTAAAACATGCCCAAAATGCCATCACTCAGAGATTAGTGGGGTTTTTTTTTGTTATTGATGTTTTGTTTTTAAGACAGGGTCTCGCGATGCCACGATCTTCCCGCCCAGCCTCCCGAGTGGCTGGGATTACAGTTGTGCACCACCACACCTGGCTTTCAGCGTGGGTGGGAAACTGAACCTGCGCCTGCCAGGTGACCTCAGCCTCCAGCACCTACCAGCACGTATCACCATGGCTGGGCCACTTAGAGATCACTTCAGGATGGTAAGGAATCATCCAAGAAGGAAGTTAAGGGACTGCTGGATGACAACTGCAAGACACAGAAGTCTTCCCCTCCAGTCCTGAAGAATAGGGACATCAGATGAACCAAGGGAGTGAGAGATTTAGCTGAAAGAAGGACTTTTGAGAGGCTAGAGCTCTTCGAGGAGAAAGAGGCCTGAATGGGGCCACCTCAGGGCACCATACAGCCCTGGAGGTTTCAGGAGAGAAAGGTGGTAGCATGGATTTTTCCTACAGCAGACCCCAGAGATTCTCCTGGGCCCCTCCACCGCAGAATTCCACGGCAAAACCCAGAAGGCAGTCTGTCTAGGTTCATTTCAATTCTGTGGACAGGCCTGGGGGACTCATTCACTAATTGTAATACTGCTTTTATGGACAAAGTTATTTTGAGTCCTAACAACAGACTTACAAGCAAACAGTAGAAACCCAGCCCACACGTAATTTGGAGACAGTATGTACTGTTTCCTTATTTAAGCAGAAACCCTCATCTCTAACCAAAATGACGTGACCATTACCAAGCAGGACAGAGCCTTGCCCTCTTTAGGTGCTCAATAAATGTTTAATGATGACAATAATGACACCTGTGTCTAGGTACAGACTGTCCTCGAACTCTGAGGCTTTCAGATGTCACCATATGCTATCCTTACTGCACGGTGTGCTGGATCGGGTTCCTCCCAAAGCAAGAACCCTAAGGACTAACCTCTCTTACCTGTTTGCAAGCTGCTGCTCAAAGTCCCCACACTGCCGCAAGAGCTCTCCACAGGTGGCTATGATCCTAAATAAAACACAAACCACTTCAAGTTCAAGTATCTGGAATGCTGACATTTACAGGACAAACATTGTCTCATTTTAAAACATTCTAACTATTCCAGTCTTTTTGGTGGTGTTGGGTTCTGGGAAAGCAGTTAACTACTCGATGGCCAATCTAAAACATTTCATTAATTACCAATTAATGGGGACCAGGGGGCATATTAGGTGAGGGCTGGACTCCCACATGGCCCACTATGGTTTGAGTCCTGGACCTGTCAACTTAAAACAAGCCGGGCATGCGTGCATGGATGGAGAATGGAGGAGGGATTGTGGCGTGGCTATCCTTTCTAGGGGGTGATTCCTCACTCTCCCTCTCACTCTTTCTGTTTCTCTGACAAGCACAAGCTCCCTATGGCAGATTCTGTCAGGATTCTGGACATGTATGCATATGCACCCAGCATGTTTTCCAAACTACCAGGGCTGGGATTTGTGGTCAGCTACATGGGAATCCAAATTTCTTATGTGTTGTGCTTAACTGCTGAGCCATGAGGCCAGCCACTGTAGGTAGCTCAGATTTTTAAATCCAAATACGTTACTTAATATTTGTTAGGTACCTGCTATTTGCAAGGCATAGACACTGTTTTGATACAAGAAGTACATCCCTCTCTCTGATAAGGCAGATGAAAATTAATCCACCTGTTTCTCAGAAATAAGCCTCAATGATCAGCTGTGAGGCCAGCCCACATATTTGTATTTAGTAATCTTTTAATTTTCAAGTACTTTTATGCCATGCTTCAATTTCCAGTTATTGAGTCCTTCAACACCAAACTCATAATGTCAGGACAAATCCAGTGATTAAAAACATCTTAAGTGTAGTTAACTTTTAACTTTCTCTAAAAGCACCTATCATCACCAGGGTATCTAGGCATTCCATCATAAGAAAGGTTTATGAGAAAGTAAAATATTCCATTCCCCTCTACTGCAACAGAACAAGCCCGTGCATATTTTCCAGTATTCCAAGCCACCTTAGACAACAGAGGATACAGCTGGCATCTAGACATTGCATTTCTTTCTTTCTTTTTGTTTGGTATTAAGATAATCTTTTTTTTTTGGTCTTTCTTTTGGGAGAGAGAGAGACACATACCCTTGACAGGGTGTTATCATACTATCCCTCTCCCCCGGCCCTCCAGCTTGTCAGGATCTTGGGTGCAACCACCTCGTGTGTTTCAGGCCAACTTAGAACCCAAACCTGCAGTCAGCCACGTAGCCTCCAGCACTGCAGATCAGTACGCTTCCACCTGCACTACTAAAACTGGGTCTCAACATTAAATTCAACCCAAAACTGAAATTCTAGAACGGAACCCATGAAGCCCCCTGGTCCTGGGTGGTTCTGGATCTACCCTGACATCCATCAGAGGGTCTGGATCTGCTCCATCTTCCACTGCATTGAAAACCACGAGTGTCCTGGGCACCCTACACATATCGCTCCAGCCATGGGTCAGGTAGGAAATACATGTGGGTGAAGTGGGCCAGGTGAGGAGCTGCTTCTCTGCTTAGGACATATACCCAAGACGAATGGTTTTAAAGAAAAAAATTCCTAGATTGCCTTTTATCTCATATTGGGACCTCAGATGCCAGACCCAGTGGATCACTGTGACACTGCAGGCCCTGGACTGCCAGAGCTTCCAACTTTTTAGGCAACATTAAAAATCTGGATTATAGGGGCCAGCAAGTGGCATGGTGGTTAAGGGTGCTGGACTCCTACATGGCCGATCATGATTTGAGTCCTGGACCTGGTGGCTTGCTTTCTCACTTTCTCTCTCTCTCTCTATTTCTCTCTTACACATCCTGTCCTTCTTTGGTAAAATTAAAATAAAGTAAATAAAGTTAAACATTAGAAATAAATAAATAAGTAAATAAATAAAATCTGGATTATGTTAAATGCAGTTTTTAAATGTTGGCAGCTAACCCAAATTTTTTAAAAAAATGATCAAATGAAACATGTTGATAGGTCAGATCCAGTCACAGGTCAGCAATCCACACTCCAGCTAAACATGTCAAGGTCAGACCTTCTCAGGCCACTGCTGGTCACACTCTCACCAAGCTGCGGGGCTTGAAGCAACAGTGTCTATCTAGTGTCCACATGTCACAGGTGCTACCCCCTCATCTCTCCCTCAACAACCACTAAAGAAGGTCACCTCGATGTCTTTCACTGAACATTTACAAGGCCCTTTCCAGGTCAAATCGTGTTGCCTTACCATTTAGTTCTGTAATTCTCAGGTCCAGAAATAGGACCCAATCAGCTGTGCATTTTCCAGAATATTGGGTTGTTGGGAAAGTCATGATGCACTTTTGCACAGAAAAACAAAAAATACATCACGACTTTCTCGACAACCTAATACAAGCTCTAGGCCCAGCACAGTGGTGTTTCAATAGCACGGCAATGCAATGCTGGAAGCCATAGGGAAGACTGGAGTTCAGTTCCAGGTTGACCTGTACTCACTGAGTGTGTACATGCCCATCTATCTAGGTTGGCTGGCAAGGCAGGGAGGGCAGATTGTGGGATGAGACACTGAAAGTGCTTATCTCTCTTTGTCTCATGAAATAAACTTTCAAAAAAATTTGCTATAGAGTACACATGCTTCCTGGAGGAGAAAGAGATAGAGAAAGCAAGAAAGTACCCCGCAGGGGGAATGGCCATGTTGCAATCTCTTCTCCATTTTCCTCTCAGAATTTTGGTCATGCACACACATACCCAGCATGTTTTTCAAGTTACCAGGTCCAGGATCTACACAGTTGGCCATGTGGGATCCAACTGCCTTAACCACTATGCCACTGGTTGACCTGAAATAAACTTTTTCTAAAAAATAAAAACATAGGGTCAGCAGATAGCATGGAGGTCAAGGCACTGGATCCACATGGCTGACTGTGTGGTTCGAGTCCCAAACCCAGTGGCTTAAGAATCACACTGTATGTGCATGTGTGCCCAAAATCCCAAGAGAATGGAGGAGAAAGAATTGTAGTATGGCCATCTCCCCAGAAGTGAATCCTCCCTTTCTCTCTCTCTCTCTCTCTCTCTCTGTTTCTCTCCGATAAGTACACATGGCCTATAGGAAAAAAAAAAAAAAAAAAGGAAGGAAGAAAGAAATTAAAATATAAGCTCTAAGTTTTAGGTGTATAAAAACAATAAGCTAAGAAGGGAAAAATCTCACAAACCAAATATAAAAAACTTTAGCCATTCACAGAGAGGAAGTATTCATAAAGTAGTTTTCCAAGTATTTTAAGAGGTAGAGGAATCTTCTTGGTGTTTTTCTGTTGGTTTGTTACTTTGTTTATTGGTTTATATTTAGAATATACAGTATTAGCTTAAAAGCAAGGCAGTGAAGGAAATAAATGAACCCCTTACAAGCACATTTATCATTTCTATGTACCATGTTATGCATGTTTATGCTGACTACATTAGGCTCACATTTAAATTCCATCCCCTACTTTACCTAATGGAGTTTTGAAAAGCCGTCCAATCTTCTTGAAAAAGGGAGTTGGGAGGAATATCATCCAGTTTGCACTTCTTTCGTATTGATTGGAGAGTATTGGTGAAATCAGACACATACCTATGGAGAAAGGGGAAAAAATGACAGGGGTGTCATCGTAAGCGCCTCGAACCTAAAAACATCTGGAATTCTACAGCTTTGGACAAGCTGCTAATGACCTTGAGAGCATCTTTGCTGGCCATCACCAAAAAGTAAAACTCTGGCCATGAAAAGCTGTCGTCTGTGTGGCAAGACTGTCTTAATGATGCTGGCAGAGCAGCTTTAAGAGAAATGCTACAGACGAGGAGGACTAAGTCAACCAAGTCAACTTCAGTGACCAACCAGGTGAGAGATGAGGCTGGTAAATTACCTCTCATCCTCATAAATGGATTTCTTTGGCAACAGGTTTGAAGAATTGCTTAGTACATTTCAGTCCCACCCTAATAACCAACTGGGACCTGGGGTATTGCATGGCAATTTACTGACGTTCGGGGTCTTTTTGTAGTAGTCTAATTAATCTCCTAAATTTAGATTAAACAGCCATGGCAGATAGATTAAAGGTTGATGGTGGACCAGCAGGTGATGTAGTTGTTAGGGTGCTGGATCCCACATGGCCAACTCCACTGTTTAAGTCTTAGACCCAAGGGCCTGAAAAACATGCCAGGCAAGTGAGTGTGTGTGCCCAAAATCCTAAGAAGGAAATGGAGAAGGGACTATGGTGTGGCCATCTCTTCCTGTGGGGAGATTTCTCATTTTTCTACTCTCTCTGCCTCTGTCTATCTCTCTATGGTGAGTGCATGCACACCATGGAGAAAAATATAAAAAAAATTAAAAATAAAAATGGCAGGGACCAGTAGTTAGCATAATGGCTATGTTACTGGACTCCCATGTAGTTGACCGCGGTTCAAGTTCGGACCCAGTGGCTTAAACTCACGCCGGGCATGTGTGCGTGCATGCCCAAGATCCTGAGAGGAGAAGGGATTGTGGCGTGGCCATCCCCCCTGGGGGGGGATTTCTCACTTTCTGTCTCTCTCTTTCTGGCGAGCACATGTGCCCTATAGCAAAAACCTCTCAAAAAAAAAAAAAAAAAGGCTAAAAATAAAAATGGCGGGCAAGAGCCCAACCTTTTTTTAGAGAGATTTTTGCTATAGGGCATGCATACTCGCTGGAAAGACAGAGACAGACAGAAAGAGAGAAATCACACCCACCGGGTAGATGGCCATGCCACAATCCCTTCTCTTCTATTCTCCTCTCAGGAGAGTAGAAAGCACCCACACTTGCCTGACATGAGTTTTAAGCCGCAGGGTCTGGGACTTGAACCATGGCCGACTACATGGGAATCCAGGGACATAACCATTATGCCACCTGCTGGTCCCGCAAAGAATTACTTATTTAATTTTATTACTTATTATTATTGCTATTTACTATAGGACACATGCACTCACCAGAGAGACACACAGAGAGAGAGATGGAAAGTGTGAAAGCAAGCTGCCAGGTCCAGAATTTGAACTTTGGTTAGCAATGTGCAAGTCTAGCACCTTAACCTCTATGCCATCTGCTGGCCTCCCAAGAGTCTGACTTTAATGGCACAGGGGCATGAAAAAAGATTAAAAGCAGGAAGACACTCCCTCACAGATTGTGCTGTTTTTAATTGCTATATATACATACTTAGAGCTCCCTAAACCTACCACAACAAAACAGCATTCAGTTCAATATAAGGAAGTCCTGGAAACTTACAGCAAATTCATTCTGGAACAGACTACCAAGGGAAAGTCTTTTGGACAGCATTCGAATACATCTGTCTATAACTAGAGACTGGAGCTTATAACCTCCTAAGAACCTGTTCGCCTAGATTACACAGGTCAGAGTCTAGCCTTACACTGATTTTCCTTCTGACAGAATGTAATTTTAGCTTCCCTCCCCATCTCTGTTCTTTCTTTCCTTACTTGCTTCTTTTCTACCATTTTTCTTTTCTCTTTTTTCCTTCTTGTAACAGCTTCATTGTGATATAATTGTAAAATGACATAATTCATCAATTTGGAATTCAATTCAACAATTTTTAGCATATTCACAGAATTGTATAACTACAATGACCACAACTTTGGAACATTTTCATCAGCCCAAAAGGAAATCCTATCCCTTTTCTGGTCATCCTCTATGTCTTCCAAATACTCCCAGTCCTAGGCAATCATGGATCTATTTTCTTCTCTATGGATTAGCTTGTTCTGGACACTTCATATAAATGAAATCATACAACATGTGATGTTTTCTGACTGATTTCTTTTACTTAGTATCTTAATATGATGTTTACTACTGTTCACTTTGCTTTTTACTTTTTTTTTTGGGGGGGTATAGGTGCACGTGCTCACAGGAGAGAGAGAAGAGAGGCAAGGGGTAAGAAATCACCTCCTGGGGGGATGGCCACACCACAATCCCTTCTCTTCCATTCTCCTCTCAGGACTTTGGGCACACATGCATACACACCTGCCACGTCTGAGACTTTAACTGTGATCAGCCATAAAGAGTCCAACAAAAAGAGTCCACCTGATGGCCTTGTTTTTTGCATTTTTAATTACACAATAAATACATTAATTTATATGCTTTTTTAGAAAAATTTTAAATAAAAAAAAAAAAAGAGTAAAGCTAAATCCCCTATAACAATCATCCCAGCCCTTTTACATCCCCAGAGATAACCAATGCCATCGGTTTATTAAGCTTCTATATCATGGTTAGCAAACTTTTTCTGGTAAGGTCCAGGCAGCATATAACTCTGGCTTCTCAAATCACATAGTTCCAACTATTCAGTTCTGCCTTCAGAGCAGGAAACAATCACAGGCCATAGGTAAGTGAAAAGCACATTCCAATAAAACTTAATAAAAATAGATGACAGAGTGACCTGTGAACTAAAGTGTGCACACAGGGATATGCAATGCATTTTAAAGTACTCAAAAGCCTCAGAACCGGGGACTGCACCCCTGGGGTTTTTGAATAAAGTTTTAGTAGCACATAGTCATCCCATTCGTTTATGTATTCTCTATGGCTGCTTTTGTGTTACAGAGGTAGAGGGCCACAAAAGTCTCGACTGAAACAGAAACCATGTGGCCTACAAATCCTAAAATATTTATTATCCGGCCCTTTGTAAACAAAGTTTGCCCAGCCCTGTTATAGGAAACAGGCGCTAATTTTTGTATTTTAAAAATATATAAAATGTATTAGACTCTCTATATTACTCTGCAACTTGCTTTTTATCACTCAGAAGCGTGTTTTTGAGATTTATCTCTGTTCATACATGTGGAGCTAACTAACACTTTACCTGCTGCTTAGGGGATCCCTCGTGTGACTACATCCTATCTTATTTAGCTACTGTCCAAACAATGCCATGGTGAACATCCTTAAGTAAGAACATCCTCTAGATGGGGTCAGCAGGTAGCATGGTGCTTAAGGTGCTGGACTCCCAGTGGCTGACCACAGTTTGAGTCCTGGAACCCAGTGGTTTGAAAATCATGCTGGGAGCATGCAGTGCATGCCCAAAATATGGAGAGGAGAATGGAGGAGAAGGGATTGTGGCGTGGCCATCTTAGCTAGGTGTGTGGAGGGGGTGACTTCTCACTTCCCTCTCTCTGTCTAGTGCACGCACCCTAGGGCAAAAACCTTAAAAAGAAAATAAGAAAAAGCAAAGAAAAGAAAATCCTCTTGGGCTCAGCTGCCAGTGCTTCTCCATGGTTTGTATGTAGCAGGTATACAGAACATTTTTAATTGGGACAGATACTGTACTCCAATGTGGCTGGTCCCGCCCCCACTTCCCCAGCCTTACTTGGCAAAGAGGGATTTCAGGGCTGCCAGCAGGCCGCAGGTCCCCAGGCCATTGGTGAATTTGGCGCATCTATCAACAGCCGCAGATGCCAGACCAAAGAGCTTGTTCACAGAGTGGCTCAGCTCCTGCACACAGTCGATCACTTCCCCATGTTCCTGGTCAGCAAATATAGACATACAAAAGCTGCATCAGACTTGTGAACATCTGAAGAGACAATATTAAGATACAAGGGGGGCCAGCTCTGTGTCCAGCTCTGTGGTTAAGGGAGCCAGATCCCACATGGTCAATAGTGCAGTCAGAATCCTGATTCCAGGGCCTGAAAAACGTGCCAGGCTCTCCCCAATTCCTGACATGATACAGAAATGAAGGAGAAGGGGTTATGGCATGACCACACTCCATTGGAGGTACTTTTTTCTTTTCTCTCTCTCTCTCTGGTGAGCACCCATGTCTACTTGAGGAGAGGGGAACAAACAAACAAATAAACAAAACAAGAAGACTGCCAAGCCCTCTCATCTGTGGTAAAAAAATAATTTAACTGGGATATCAGACTGCAGTCCCAGGCCAGCCAGTGGCATGGTGGGTAAGACATAGGAACCAAGCTGGGTCCCTCATGGCAGACTTTACAGTTCAAGTCCTGGACCCAGTAGCTTGAAAAAAACGTGCTAGGTTTGTGTGTATGCATGTGTATATGCCCAAAATCACAAGAGGAGAATGAAGGAGAGGAGACTGCAGAGTGGCCTTCCCCCAGGAGGTGATTTCTCACTTTCCCTCTCTCTCTCCCTCACTCTATGTCTCTCTCTGGAGAGCGCACAAACCCTACAGCAAAAAGAAACAAACAAAAAACAAAGAAAAGAAATATAGTCCCAACCTAAGATGGCTCTTCTAGAACCTGAGTTGGGGGAGGGCAGTCTACATGGCCAGGAAGATCATGGAAATTAACTCCCGGAAGAAAGGAATGAAGGCTTAATTCACCATTCCTTTTTTAAAAAAAAAAAACAAAAAACAAAAATTTTGCTAGAGCATGTCTGTGCTCTTAAACAAACAAAAAACAAAATCTTTGCTAGAGCATTTGTGTGCTCCCCAGACAGTGAGAGAGGTTTGGAAAGAGCGTGAAAGTGAGAAAGTACCCCCCTATAATAGGGGATGGTCACACTGCAACCCCCTCATTCAGCATCTCTTTTCTGGATTTTCAGCACACACGTAAGCCTGCTGTGTTTCTCAAGGCGCTCGGTGTAAGACTTAAACTGCGCAGCTAGCCAGTGAGATCCAGCTGCCTTAACCACCATGCCTCTGGCTGGCCCCATCCTTACATTTTCAATGTTTTCCTTTTTCTATGATTATCATGGTTTCTTTCCCTCTGGCTCTCAAGGTAGAATTCAAGTTCTCCATATTAGACACTCCAAAACAATGCAGCGAAAGGAGAATGCTTCCTTCAGGGGCAAAAACGTAATTCAAGTGGGTAATTGAAGTGGAACTGCCTTTCTAGGTATATCCCTAGAAAACAGGAAAATGACAAGAGGCTGTAGGTAACTACTGTAAGATCAATGATTGCGTTTTTGTTTTGTTTTTAAATAGTCTTTTGCCATAAGGTGTGTGTGCTTGCCAGGGAGAGACAGCCAGTCAGTGAGAGGGCCAGTGAGAAATCATCCCCCAGGTGATTGATGGCCATGCCACAATCCCTCCTCCTCCACTCTCCTCCTGGGATTTTGGACTTGCATGCACACAGGCCTAGAATGAGTTTTAGGCCACCAGGTCCAATTTTCAAACCGCAATCAGGCATGCGGGAATCCAGCGCCTGAACCACTACCCCACCTCTGGCTCCAGTCACCGTGTAACTTTACAGAGGTATAACATGTTTTTCCCAGCATGAATACAGAGCACATTAGTCAAGTCAAAGATATTATCATATATTGGGCATTATCGCCAACAGGTTAACTTTTCATTTTTTGTGTCTACTGAATGTTTTGTTTGTTTTTTTCCTCGATCAATTTTTTTTTTCCCTAAGGTTTTTGCCACGTGCGCTCGCCAGAGAGAGACAGAGGGAGGGAAAGTAAAAAAATCACCCCCCACAGGGGATGGCCATGCTACAATCCCTTCTTCTGCATTCTCCTCCTCTCCTCCTGGGATTTTGGACTTGCATGCACACAGGCCTAGAATGAGTTTTAGGCCACCAGGTCCAATTTTCAAACCGCAATCAGGCATGCGGGAATCCAGCGCCTGAACCACTACCCCACCTCTGGCTCCAGTCACCGTGTAACTTTACAGAGGTATAACATGTTTTTCCCAGCATGAATACAGAGCACATTAGTCAAGTCAAAGATATTATCATATATTGGGCATTATCGCCAACAGGTTAACTTTTCATTTTTTGTGTCTACTGAATGTTTTGTTTGTTTTTTTCCTCGATCAATTTTTTTTTTCCCTAAGGTTTTTGCCACGTGCGCTCGCCAGAGAGAGACAGAGGGAGGGAAAGTAAAAAAATCACCCCCCACAGGGGATGGCCATGCTACAATCCCTTCTTCTGCATTCTCCTCTTGGGATTTTGGTACGCACATACACAAACATGTACGCACATGCCTGGTGTGATTCTCAAGCCACCAGGCTTGGGTCTTGAACCGCAGTCACCCATGTGGCCATCATGCCACATGGTCCCTCTCTGATTAATTCTTAAATGTCAACTCACCTCACACTAGACAGCAGTAAATGATTTGGGAACAAATCATTTGAAATGGAAATGGCTTCTAATCCCCAATGTTGCCTAAAGAGTAAACCAGCCCCTACGGCATTGTCCATGAATGATAATTCCTGTGCTCATTTGCCTATCTTTCTTATACAAAAGATTAATTCAGTAAAGATTACTGAGCCAGCCTATGGCATGGTGGTTAGGGTGGCTGGATTCCACATGGCCAGCCTCCCAGTTGGAGTCTCAGATCCAGCGGCTTGAGAAAATACCCTAGGCTCATGTGTCCCTAATACCTAGAAAGTAGAAATCAGAAGGGATTGTGGTATGATCATTCCCCATGGGGATGCTCTTTCACGTTCCCTCTCTTTCTCTCTAGGAAGTACACACAGCCTCTTGGGGAAAAAAAAAATTATGAAATCAGGGAGATGATCACTATATCCCCCAACGATTCAGGCTTTTCATTTTGCTAGACCTTTATTAGGGATTTTTAAATAGAAAATTGGTAGCAAATCTGTAGTGTCTTCTTATATTTGGATTACAAAAACCCACAAGGCATTTAAAGCTCTTTTTTTGCACATCGGATCCCACTCTCCAACTCTCTGCCAAACTCTACCAGAAACCTGGCAGAGATAGCTTCTTACATGGCCACTGGCAGGATTGTGACATTACCAAAGGCACAGCGCTGATCTGGATGAGGAGGTTGCTCTCTTCCATGTCGCCATACTTGAGCTGGTAGGGTTTGTACGGGCTGTACACGGCATCCACCAGCTCCATGACTTTCACCAGGTTGTGCTCATCTTTAGAGAATCAGAAATTAAAAGCAACAATGAACGGAGAATCTGAAATTAGTGCTAGAAGCAATAGGCAAGAGATATTTTACTAGAACTTTTCCTGTTTTATCTTCAAGGATGTCTATATTTTGTTAACCCACTTTTATCATCCTTGAAGCTTCTTCAATAATCACTTCGGTATATATATCTGGATAAATCTGGGCTTTGGACATTGTTTGCCCAAAACAGCAACCCCCTTAATCTCACAATGATCATAGTCAACAATCCCTTTAAATGATCTGTTGTCAGGATCAGGTTCAAGAAGAACTGCTGCACAGGCCAGCGGTAGTATGGTGATGAAGGCAGTTGGACCCCATAGGGCCAACTATGCAGTTTGAATCTCACACCTGGTGGACTGAAAATCACACAGGCCACCTACCTGTGCATGTGAGCCCAAAAATCCTGAGAAGAAAGTGAAAAAGGGATTGTGGTGTGGTCATTCCCCCTGGGGATGATTTCTCACTTTCCCTCTCACTGTCCTTCTCTCTCTCTCTGTCTCTCTCTGGCAAGCACACACACCCAACAGCAAAACTAAAACAAAAAAGAAAGAAAGAAAGAAAGAAAGAAAGAAAGAAAGAAAGAAAGAAAGAAAGAAAGAAAGGAAGGAAGGAAGGAAGGAAGGAAGGAAGGAAGGAAAGAAAGAAAGAAAGAAAGAAAGAAAGAAAGAAAGAAAGAAAGAAAAAGAAAGAAAGAGATCAACAAATAAAGTTTTGGAAACAATCTCAAAAGGGGATGAGTGAATATAATGGCCTCCTTACTGATGTCCTCAGATCCTCTGGTCCTCTCCAATCTTTCCTCCACACCAAAGTTACAGAAATATTCCCCCAACAGAAATCCAACCACATTACTGCCCTATTCGCAACGTTTCAGTAACCTCCACTGCTCGTCAGTTGGAGTCCAAAATCCTTCTACACTAACAGAGCTCAGCACTATCTGATCTCAGGAGGTGAAAAATGGTGGCGTTTAACAGTGAAGCCTCTCTATGGAAGCTCTGCTGCTTTCCAGGTATCTGACTGCATGCAGACGACTTAACTTTGCCACACATGTTTCCTCGCTGACAAAATGAGGATAATCATGCCATCAATTTTATAAGGCTTTTGTAGAAATTAGGTAAAATAACGTATGTTCTGGCATGTGGTAAATGCCGAATAAATATCAGCTATTTTTGACTATTTCTACAACGTCACCCTTCACTGCTCCCTAGCTGCCAGCTTTCTCTCAGTTCCTGAAGGGACCATGCTCCCTCTGACCATGTGCGGACCCCTCTGTCTGGAAGGACTTTCTTTCTCCCCATTTCTCTTCATCTAGTTAACACCTCCTCCTCCTTCAATAATCACTCAGCTCAAGTCTGCTGGTCTCAATGATCTTTCTTTGATTATATACTCTTAGAACCATTTGTTTTTCTTCAAGTATTTATTTTACTTTGTAATTATACACTCATTAGCGTGATTATTCGATTACCTCCTACTGTAATGCGCACACTTGAGATTAAGAACCAAGTCTGGTTTTGCTCAGCACTGTATCTTCACCATCCAGTTCTCCAGGATGAATACATTTGTAATGGAATGAATAAATTAAATACATTCTGAATGCCCCATAACGCAGTCATGACAAATAATTGCATGCATAAACATATATAATTGCATATAAAACAAACTGTTGGGAACCAGGATTCTCACAGCAGGAGATAGGAGATGCACATGAGTGTGTAAGAAGTAAAAATCTTGTGGCATTGGATTTGATTAGGAAGTATCGGTATAAACCAGCAATTAAAACAATGTATTTCCTAGCTCTGTCCACCAAAATAGCCTAGAAATAATAATAACTCAGTATCAATGAACACTCTTGGTGTTCAGATTTTAGTTTCTAAATACCATTTTGTTATAAGAAATCAGACTCCCTGGGAACATAGCCAATTCCAGGTCTGAGTCAAGGGAAAGTACAAGGTGTTCCTAGAATAAAAAAGTAAGAAAGCACACAAAGACTGGTAGGGCATGCCAAAAAGATAAAGGAGCCAGCTTAAAAATGTATCCACTGTCCAAATTTGAAATAATCTGAACATCATGATAATAACAGAAAATACCTGAATTAAAAAAAAAATCTATGAATCCTAGAGATATAAAAGAGACAAAAAGAGGGGCCAGCAAGTGGCATGGTGTTAAGTCGCTGGACTTCCATATGGCCAACCACAGTTCGAGTCCCAGAACTGACAACTTGCTTTCCCACTTTCCCTTTCTCTCTCTCTGGCCAAATAAATAATAATAATAAATAACATTAAATAAATCATTCTTTTTAAAAAATTACTCTTATAAATGAGCCAGAAATAGGCTAAACTCACAGAGAGAAAAACAGGCAAAAAGCAATTTAAAATAGAAAAAAAATGTATAATTTTTTAAACTGCTAATAAAAAAAGTGAAAAGTTAAAATTACATATCATTAATTGTTTATAAATGTCAGAATACTGGGAGGAAAAAGAACCTAGTGATAGTAGAGGCATAGTGGTTAAGGCGCTGGACATGGCCAACTGTGGTTTGAGTCCCAGACCCAGTGGCCTGGAACTCACGCCTGGTATGTGTGTGTGCATGCCCAATGTCCTGAGGGGAAAATGGAAGAAAAGGGATTGGAGTGTGGCCATCGCCCTTGGGGAATGATTTCTTGCTTTCTGTTTCTCCATCTCTGACTATTATCTCCAGTGAGTGCATACAACCTATAGCAAAAATCTCTCTCTCAAAAAAAAATAAGATTCTAGTGATGGCAAGAGCCTGGGGGAATGGACACCCTCATTCACAAAACTAGGAAAGGGTCAATGCAGCTTTCTATATCTGGCCCCTTTCCTCTCTTGGAAAGTAAATAAACCTTTTTTTCTGCTTTCTAAAACAAACAAAAAGTTGGGACCAGCAAGTGGAGTAGTGGTTAAGGCGCTGCACACTCCCATATGGCTGACCACGGTTTGAGTCCTGGACCTAATGGCTTGCTTTCTCACTTTCCCTCTCTCTCTGGTCAAATTCAAATAAATGAATGAATAATAAAATAAAGTAATCTTTTAAAAAGTAGGAACTTTTGGGAACCAGCAGTTAGCGTAATGGCTATGTCACTGGACTCCCACGTAGTTGACTGCGGTTTGCGTCCCGGACCCAGTGGCTTAAAACTCACGCTGGATGCGTGTGCGTGCGTACCCAAGATCCTGAGAGGAGAATGGAGGAGAAGAGATTGCGGCATGACCCTCCCCCCTGGGGGGTGATTTCTCGCTTTCTGTCTCTATGTCTCTCTCTGTCTGGCGAGCGCACACGCCCTATAGCAAAAACCTCTCAAAAAAAGATAAAATAAAATAAAAAAGTAGGAACTTTTGGGACCAGTTAGTATAATAGCTATGTTGCTGGACTCCCATGTAGTCGACCGCGGTTTGAGTCCCGGACCTGGTGGATTAAAACTCATGCTGGGCGCGTGTGCGTGCGTGCCCAAGATCCCAAGAGGAGAATGGAGGAGAAGGGATTGCGGAGTGGCCATCTCCACTGGGGTATGATTTCTCACTTTCTGTCTCTCTGTCTCTCTCTGTCTGTCTGGTAAGCGCATGTGCCCTATAGCAATAAAAGATAAACTCTCAAAAAAAAAAAAAAGTAGGAACTTTTTTCTTTTATTTTGTTTTAGAGGTTCTTGCTTTAGGGCACATGCACCTGGGGGAAGTGGGGGATGATACACGCAACAGAGACAGTAAGAGGGAAAGTGAGAAATCACCTCCAGGGGGATGACCAAAATTCCTTCTCCATCATTGTCCTCTGGGCATCTTGGGCAGGCATGAGGCACACATGCCTGGGGAGATTTTTCAAGTCACTAGGTTCAGGACTCGAACTACGGTCAGGCATATGGGAGTCCAGCAACATAACCACTATGCTATCTGCTGGCCCCAAAAGTAGGACCTTTATAAAAAGCAAAATATGACATTTAAAAAAATCTTTAATTTTTAGTGACTGCAATTTTGAACTTATCCTAAAGAAAAGTCAGAGCTGGTTTCAAAACTTAACATGTAAGGTAGTTCATAATAGTCTTAATTATAATAGAGGTTTAAAGAGTTATTATAAACCATAATTATAACCCAGTTGTTAAAAACCATGCCTTGAGGCTAGCATGTGGTATGGCAGTTAAGGTGCTGGACTCCCACATGGCCGACCATGGTTCAAGTCCCAGACCCAGAGGCTTGAAAATCACACTGGGCACACATGCATGCATGCCCAAAATCCTGAAAGGAGAATGGAAGAGAAGGGACTGTGGCATGGCCATTCCCCCTGGGGGATGATTTCTCATTTTCTCTCTTCTCTCTTTCTGGCAAACACATGTGTTCTATGGCAAAATCTAAACAAACAAACAAAGAAACAAATTTCATGCTTTGGGCCAGCAGCTGTTATGGTGGTTAAGTCAATGGATTCTACATGGCCAACTCTGTGGGTTTGAGTCCTGAACCCAGTGTCTTGAAAAATAAGATGGACATATGTATGTGCACGCCTGAAATCCCCAGAGGAGAATAGAGGATTGTTGTATGGCCATCCCCAAGGACTATTTCTCACTTTCCCTCTTCCTCTGGCTCTGTCTGATGAATGCATGTGACCTATGACAAAAAAATCTAAAAACAGTCTACGACAACATGTAATGACATTATAAAAGGCTCATTATATTAATTTAGGCAAAAAAAGAGACTATAAGACTGTATACAATTAATATTTAAAATATTTTTATATAAAAATATGCATAACTTATACTATAACTTATAAAATATATATTTATGGGAACCAGCAGTTAGCGTAATGGCTATGTCACTGGACTCCCATGTAGATGAACGCGGTTCACGTCCCGGACCCAGTGGCTTTAAATTCACGCCGGGCGCATGTGCATGGTGCCCAAGATCCCGAGAGGAGAATGAAGGAGAAGGGATTGCGGCGTGACCATCCTATATATATATTATGTAATATATATACTATTATGTTAAATATTCATAGTAACACTTGTGAATAATGGGTAATTTAGACGTGACTTACTAAGAGGACACAGAATGTTGCTAGTGGCTCTCTCTGGGTGAAGTTACAGGTCATTTTCATTCACCTTCTTTTTTTTTCTTTTTGGACTTTTTAAAAAAATTATGATTCCTGGTTTACAGTATAGGGGATAGTATGTTTTCTTCATTTCATTTATTTTTATTTTTATTTTTGTATGTGTTTTCAAAGAATTAAAAACAAAAACTCATTTGAAAACCTCAACAGGAATCATTAAAAATCTACACTTCCATGGCTAACAAAGCCCTCCTGTCTCTGACTCTTCAGAGGGTGGTTCTCCGTCTTCAACACCCATCATCCGGGGGAGGGATGCAGGCCTACACATTTCAGCCACTGAACAGCAGAATCGTGGTCCCCTGGAAGCTACCCACATCCACCGTACTGCTCCCAGAACCAAGGCCTGACCAGCAAGGGTGCCAAGAACACCTATGAATCATCAGGAACCGAACAATAAACACACTCCCTGGAATGTACAAGGCAATTAGACACAAATGTAATTAAAGAGAATAACTATTAAATAAACTAAGTTAGTGACACACAGCAGCCAAACGGCAGAACAAAGCCTTCCTGAAGCGATTTCCTGATTTGACAGTAGCATGCGTCACCAAGTCTGTGCTATTTAAAAATTTACAATGCTTTTAATATAGATGGGAAACAGCTGGGAAAACGTAACACACTGCACATTGTTTACCCAAATGGGAATAAGGAGCGCTCTGCTCTCAGCCCATCTTCCCTATAGCTACTCTAGTCCTACTCACACGGCTCTCTGCTCTGAAGAACCTGTCGTTGCCCCTTCAAGGAGCTCCTCTAATTTACTTGTTTTCTCTCGTTTTTTTAAATTTGCTATAAGACCTGCATATTCACAAGAGAGAGAGAGACAGAGACAGAGAGAAAGTAAGAAAATACCCGCCAATAAGGATGGCCATGCCACAGTGCCTTCTCCTCTATTCTTCCCTTGGGATTTTGGGCACGCACACACACACGTTGAAGTGGTCTCCAAGTGACAGGGTCCAGGACTAGAACCACACTGTCAGCCATGTGGGATCTAGCCACCTTAGCCACCACACCACTGGTTGGCCCCCTACTTATTCTCTTAAACTTAATTTTTAGGTTGAATCAACTGAGATTTAAGAAGTCTTGAAATCAAGAGAACAGTACCATCCGGTGTAACCTGCTGACAACTCGTTGCCACTAATGTTCACTGCCTCACTATCAGGTCTTCCACATCCAAGCCCAGGCAGAAGTGACCATGACTCCCCAGAGCATGTAGAACACCCAGACAGGGCTGGGGCGCGATGAGTGCACTAAACAGCCATTTCCACATGGCCACATGTCCATGGAAAAGCCTTCCGATCTGCTGAGAAAGAAACACTGATCCCTTCCACTTCTGTACAGATATCTAAAAAGGCAAACGAACCCTGTCCCAAGACGCTTCAAAAAGAGCTAGGAAAGGAAGCGAGAGAAGTGGCGGAAACAGTGTTTACGTAAGTGGGGGAGCAGCGCCGTCTCCAACCCCTTGGCAAAGTGGGCGGTAGCCTCGTAGAACTCCAGCAGTTTGGTGAGCTCCAGCTCGGGCCCTGCCCTCTCCACACCAGCACTGAGGCAGATGGGCAGGGAGGGCACCAAGGCCCCCAGGGTCTGAATCAGCAGCACCGTCACCACCTCATGGGGGTTCTTGAAAACCTGCAATGGGAGAGAGATGTCTGTGTTAGTCCAAACAGAAGCATGCCTTTCAAAGAAGCTGTCTGCTGGATCACTCAAAGGAATCTCCCCTGATAGCTGAAAAGTATTCTAGTCAAGAGCTATAAGCCTAAAGCTTCCTCCCTGACAAATAAGAACACGCTCACAAAGTAGACTGGCAGGACTTGAAACTTGTCCAGAACAACTGGCAACTCATGTCCGTCTCTGGCGCTAAGTGCCTGGCTATTTTCAAACCTAGCAAATGCTTCCATATACTAGTTAGATAATCAGCAAAAATTGAATAGAGGACTCTGAGGATGACAGTAAAGAAATTAGGGACAGTGGGAGGTAGGGCATAAACAGAACGATAGGACCAGCTCTGTGGTATACTGGTAATGTGCTGCTTGAGAGAAGCCAGATCTGGAGCTGGCAAGTGGCGTGGCAGTTAAGGCACTGGACTTTCACATGGTCAACTGAGGTTCGAGTCCTGGACTTGTCAGTTTGCTTTCTCACTTTCCCTTTCTCTCTTTCTCTGTCTCTCTCTGGTCAAATTAAAAAGTAATAATAAAATAAATAATTATTTTTTAAAAAGAGAGAGAGAGAGAGAGAAGCCAGATCCCACATGATAATAACCACAATTCGAATCCTGGGCCCAGTCAGGTTGAAGCACATCACGTATGTGCACAAGTGCCCAAGATCCCACGGGTTGGAGGAGTGAAGGAAGGGGATTGTGCCACAACCAGATGGTGTGACCCTGCCCAACTAGGGGGCGCTTTTTCCCTCTCCCTCTTCTCTCTCTCTTTCATCGTTAATTTAACCTGGCCGCTACAGCACAGGTTCTGTCGAGATCAGCTGACTATGCCACTTTGGCTGTCATGAGCAGTCTCACATTGCTTCCACCAAGAAAATGCTGTGTGTCATGTGGGCTAGGGCATTAACAGCACCCACTCGATACCCCCCCTTACGTTCTGTAAATACTATGTCTGCCTCCATTCTCATCTCCCCCCACCCTGCTGAAGAGCTAGTGGTGTGATGTGACCATCAATCCAAACCCACCACTGAAATCGTGTGGCAACAAGTGGTTCAAAGGTGGTCACATCCATGACCCAAAACATTTGTTCTTAAATTATTACCAAGGTGGAAAATCAAACTTCAAATTCTCATAGAGGATTCCCAAAACTTCAATGAACACCTGCTTTGTTTGATAAGTCCTGTATTAGACTCTTGTTTAGGGCTACCCTGTAGGAGTGGAAGAGAAAGAAATAGAGGAAAGAAACCCAAACCCATAAATAACAAAAACCTAAACTGCTGCTACTCTCCACTTTGTATTTCCAGAGCAACTGTCTTCCAGCCATCTGCTGGATGTTGCTGTTAGAATGAGTCAAGCTCAAATAGAATTGAAACGTATCCCAAAGCAAAATTCATTATTTTCTCACTTATTTCCCCAGAACTGTTTGCCTCAACTTCGCTATTTCTCCCAGAAACATCTCCATTCAACCAGGATAAAGATCTCCTTTCTGGCTTCCTTTCCTTTCAGTAGCTTTATTAGTTACTAGGTTACTAGTTGTTCATTTGTCTTTTTTTTTTTTTTTAAAAAAGCATTATTTTATTTAACTGTATTTATTTATTTACTTATTATTCTTTTTTAAAATTTGACCAGCAGGGGAGAGAGAGAGAGAGAGAGAGCAAGACGGGGGAGGCAGGAAGGGGAGTGAGAAAGCAAGCTGCCAGGTTAAAATTTGACCAGCAGGGGAGAGAGAGAGAGAGAGAGAGCAAGACGGGGGAGGCAGGAAGGGGAGTGAGAAAGCAAGCTGCCAGGTCTGGGACTCGAACCACCATCAGCCATGTGGGAGTCCGGTGCCCTTTACCACCATGCCACCTGCCAGCCCAGCTCATTTGTCTTAAACCTGAATGTTATTATCACTATCCTAGACCAGGCAAATTCTTAACTTTCTCCAATCTCTTCTCATGAATTCACTCTATGTTCCACCACCAAATTAATTATGCTTAAATGTTAGTTTTACAATTCACTTATATTTTTCATTTTTAAATATTGTAAGATTCACCAGCTGTTAACATTTTGGTGCTGTGACTCCTTTTAATTTTTGCTATTCCCATGAGTGAGTAGTAGAATCTCATTGTGGTTTTAATTTGCATTTCCCTGAGGACTAAGGACACTGTACCTTTTGAAGTGTTCATTGGCCATTTGTATATCTTCCTTTGTGAAGTATCTACTTAAGTTTCTGATTATTTATTTTTTTTTTTTGTGAGATATTTTTTTGTTTGTTTGTTTTGTTTTGTTTGTTTGTTTGTTTGTGCGCTCACCAGAAAAACAGAGAGTGACAGAGAGACAGAAAGCAAGAAATCACGCCCCAGGGGGGATGGCCACGCTGCAATCCTTTCTCCTCCATTCTCCTCTCGGGGTTTTAGGCACGCATGCACATACACCTGGCGTTGAGTTTAAGCCACCAGGTCCTGGACTTGAACTGCGGTCGACTACATGGGAGTCCAGTGACATAGCCATTACGCTAACTGCTGGTCCCGCATTTTCTGATTATTTTTAAAAATTGGGTTATTTACTTTACCATTATTGAATTGTAGGCATTCTTAACATAGTCTAGATATAAGTCTTCATCAGGTATATTTTGTAGATATTTTCTTCCAGTCTTCGGCTCCAACAGAGGTTTTGATTTCAATGAAACTAAGATATCTGTTTTCCCTTAGGGCTATTGCTTTGTGTGTCCTAAGAAACCATCACCAATTTCCAAGTCTGTGAACTCTTGTTGTTCTTTGGCCAGAGAATTCCTTTTGTCTAATTGAGCTAAAGAAAGTGGGAACTTCTGAGTGTGTTTTCATTGAAATGTATATTTAAAAAATGTTACTGGAGGGGCCGGCAGATGGTGTGGTGGTTAAGTGTGTTGGACTCCCACATGGCTGACCGTGATTTTAGTCCCAGACCTGGCAGCTTTCCTCACTTTCCTTCTCTCTCTCTTTCACTTAACTCTGTCCCTTTCTGGTCAAATTAAAATAAGTATATAGATAAATAAAGTTAAATAATTCTTAAAAAAAACATCACTGGAAATCTAGACATGACTTTATTAAAGGTAACCAATTGGCACTCCTTAGGAGAGAGTCATTGACTCTTATGTCTCCCCCACTCCCAAGGCATTTAAGTAGGAGAGAAGAGCAAAGTGATGCCTAAAACTACAAGACCAAGCTAACCAACCATGGCTATAGAGTTACCCCTAAATAGCTTATGAAAACATAGCCGGTCCCCACCTTACACTACACACAAAAATTAATTCAAGATGGACTGCAGACTTAAATGTAAAAGTTAAACAAGCTTCTAGAAGAAAACATAGAATATCTTTGCAACTTGGGGATTGGTGTTGGCACGGAAAGTGAAAACTATAAAGAAAAAAATGAGAAATTAAGCTTCATCAAAATTGAAGTCCCTGTTCAAGCCACAGACTATATCTACATTGGGACCAGCAGGTGGTGTGGTGGTTAAGGTGCAGGACATTCCCACATGGCAGACCACGGTTCATGTCCTAGATCTATTTCTCACTTCCCCTTTCTCTCTTTCTCTTTGTGTTTCTCTCTGTCAAATCAAAGATAAATGAATGAATAAATAAAATTAAATAAATAATTCTTTAAAAAAAATATCTACAGAATACACATGACAAAGGACCTACACCTAGAATATATAAAGAACTCCTACAACTTAGTAACAAAAATGAAAATAACCCAATTTTTTATAGTAGGCAAAAAACATGAGTAGACACTTTATAAAGAAAGATATGAAAATGACCAATAAGCATGGGGAAAGGTTCTCAATGTCCCTAGTCACCAGGGAAATGTAAATTAAAGCCACAGTGAGGTACTACACACGCCCACTGGAATGGCTAAAATGAAAAAGAATGGCAACACCTAATGATGGCAGGAGGTGGCACAATCAATCAGAACTCTGACGCTCTGTTGTGGGAGTGGAAGAAGTACAGCCACTATGCAAAACGACCTGGCAGTTTCTTATACAGCTAAATATATACCTGCCCTATGACCTAGTAAATTCATTCCTGTTTTTACCCAAGAGATATGAACACATCTATCTACAAAAACCCTACAGAACAACATTCAGAGCGGCTTTATTCATAAGAGCCCAAAACTGTAAACGGACCAATAAGAGAATGTGTAAACGACTAAGGCATATTCATATCATGAACTAGCGTTCAGCAGTAGAAAGGAACGGCCTCGTGATAAACACACCAACATGAATAAATCTCAAGACCACACCGAATGACAGAAGTCCACGTACTATGAGATTCATCTATAAGAAATTCTAGAACAAAGGTATAAATTAGCATAAACTCGTACCTCACCAAATGTTAAGATGATACCTGCGCAGAATACTAAGGTGTCTAAGTTCTTCTTAGATGATGGAGGCCATGTGTGTGTATAGACACGAGCTGTTTTTAATCCTCACGATACAAAAAGCAGCAAAGAGGCAAAGACGCGCAAACAAGTGTAGGTGGACAGAGCTGCTGAAAACGAATGATTACCTAAAAACTGTGAAACGTCTACAAAAGGTTGTTTTTCTCCTTTAAAAGTCAAACACCAAAATAAAAAACAAAAAAAACGCCCTAAGTCCGAATTAGGTCAGTTCAAGGAGAAGACACACGAGAATGGAGAGAAGGGCTTTAACCAACTTGAATGATATGACCACGCACAAGGAGTTCTCTCCAACCACAGTCAAGCTCATTCCAAAGCGAATGACTGAGGCACATCTGCAGAGCGATTCACGACTAATTGTGACGATATATATATATATATATTTATATATTTATATCTCAAATCCTAAACAGGCTCAGTGAGTCATTACTCCACAGATCCCCCCCAGGAGGATCTATTGCGCCTCCTGGCGTCGCAACTAGAGAAGAGTGGTTCCCATCAATGGCTGGAAGTGCCTGCAGACTCTGGGAAAGTGAGTGATGGGAAGTCTCATTTGAAACAAAGTCCCTTGTCTCACCTCACCCCAACCAGAGGGTGCCTTTACAATTATACTCCACTTCCTCTAATTTGGTATACTGTGAGATGAAGGAAGCAAACTTCGGGCCAGGTACGATTTATCTGAAGTTAAGATAACAACCTTGTCACATTAGATCCTATTTAAGATATAGATAAGAGCGATAGGAAGAGTTTTAATGGAGACCTAAAGACTTCACTGACACGTGTTTCTAAGCTTATGGCTGAACCAGGTAGCAAACAGGGTCCTTACAGTCGTGCTCCACAGTGGAGAACCACCACTCTCCAGGCAGTCACCCATTCCCGTGTCATCATAGGCTTTGTTCTCCCCAGAACCCAAATGAGCTGTTACCTGCAGAGCCCATTGGGTTTGTGTGTGCCAAGCACCAAGCAAGGCATCGTAGAGTCCAGTGAGCTGCCGGTCCAGGGCTAGGTCACTCTGGCACAGCTCTTGCCACACCGCTAACAGCTGCACCTGCAGAGGCAGAACAATGGGGCCTTACTGGGTCCATCAAGATAAGCTGCCTGCTGACCTGCACTCCTACCAAGGCAAGGAATTGCCCCTGCCTCCTGTCCTGAGCAATCGGATGCTCTGTGAGGTCTATTCACTTCATAAAACAATGGAAACAAACCGTTTACACTCACCTGCTCTGGTCATCAACTAATGCTTGAATCTGTCACCCTCCGAGTGAGCCCTCTGCGCCAAAAGCATGCCAATATGGTTCTGCTCTGAATAGACCACTGAGGTGGGCGTGACTGTGTGTGTAAGCTTCATGTTCTAACAACACTGCTTTTAAAACACAGGCGAGCCAGGCACAGAGGCGCGTGCCTGCAGCCCCAGCTATGTGGGAGGCTGAGGCAGGAGGATCACAAGCATGAGGCTGGCACAGGCAACATAATGTGACCCTGTCCGAAAGAGCTGGGCATGCTGCTACGTGTACAACTACAGTCCAGGAAGGCTGAGGTGGGAGGATCGTGACAGAGAAAGACCTTGTCTTTAAAAACAAACAAACGAAAAAGTTCATATAAGCATTTGACTTGAGGGAACTAAGATTAGCCCAGGAAACTCTAGGGGTTTTTGGTAACCTAATTTGAACAACCCTAGAAAACATAAAATTCTTACGGCTTGTTGAGGGCATAATAAAGCTTAAGGCAGGCATTGTCCTTAAAAGACAAAAATAAGAATAAATGAAAGTAATTATCAATCAGAAAATGAGTCCAGCTGTAAATACAAAAGGGGATGGACACCAATGACTCTCACAGGAGGTTAAATAAACCCACACCCTGTACTATGAGCACCCCCTACTGGCTAACTAAAAGAAAAGAGACAGAGGGCGAGGAGGCAAATACTTTTATCTGAGCATGAAACTGGAAACCCGTAGTCCAGCGTTAGGAGCCTTCCACGAAGGTAAGCACTCACAGCTTCTTACCTTGTGACACTTGTAGTAGTATGCAAGGAGCTGGGGCATCCGGTCCACTTCTGTGAACACCTTCACGAACACTTTGGACTGATCTGAAGAATGACGCAAAACATTTATTTTCTGTTACAGCCAAGAGAAAGAATTCACCAGGATACATGTGCGTACATATAAGCCAGTATTCAGAAATTCCCAGCTGTAATTAAGAGTCATGCATAGAGGCCATAAATATGAAAACTAAGTAAAGAGGAGAACATGTGAGTTGATAATAAGATACTGCACCTCTGGCTTGTGAACACAATGCCTCAATAAGCATCATTTAAAAAGCTAGGGTTACATGTCAGTGAAGTAGCCATCACATATGAATGGTAACTGAATTAGGATCGGAGCTGGCACTGGGGGTGGCAAGCCTGGAATATAAAATATTAGGAGGCTCTTGGGGGCTGGAGAGTGGTACAGCAGTAACACAAAACTCTGCAAGGCTGACCCAAGTAGGAAGTTCTTCTTTTAGAGAGATTTATGCTATTGGGCATGTGATATAGAATGCTAGAGAGACAGAGACAGGAAATGAGAAATCACCCTCCAGGGAAGATGGCCATACCACAATCCCTTCTTCTCCATTATCCTCTTGGGATTTTGAGCACACTCACATACATGCCCAGCTTGAATTTTAAGCTGCCAGGTCCAGAACTCGAACCGTGGTCAACTATATGGGAGTCCATTATGTCATCTGCTGGTTCCACACAGGAAGTTCTTGGCTCTCATCTGGAGACCTCCCTAGGTATGTGGGGCACATGCCCATGACCTGGGACTGGCTAACAGAGGGTCATGGCATTAACATTCTTTTGTGGCTACTCTCTCTCTCTGCCTCTCTTGTTCATGGAAGAAATAAATAAATAAACTTTAAAAAATCTTCCTAATCATTTCACCCATGGTACCAGTCCACATCACTTCACCCTGTTTCCTCCTAGGCAGAGACTGCAGGCATCACAGCCTGAGAGCCCTGCCTTCATAATTTTCCTTTCTCTGCTGCTCATTTTCCTTCAAGGAAGAGAAGATTCTGGGTAAATGTATGAGTACATATAAACAAAGGTAGGTTTTTGATATGCAGAGTACGTAGTAATATCAAATGAAATTCATTGTGGACAAGCTAGCTGTCCCACTTTACATTAACGGGACTTCCTCTAGCGCTTTTCCATGTAGATAAGCTCACTTTAACCTCAGTGGAACCCAGTGGAGTCAGGTGAGAAACTGCCCGCAGAGTAAGTGACTGGTCGGGATCACGCAGCACAGGAGCCGCTCCATCTCCTGCTCAGCTTCCCGAGCATCCTCTAACGCCTCTGACTTGTCCAAAAGGACGAGTGACAGGAACAGGACTTTTAACTTCAGATCTAGCAAAGAATTCAGATGGGTTGGTCCAGACCAGAGCAGAACACGGGCTCCAGAAGAAAAGCTTTTGAGGAAGAAGAACCCAGAAAAATACCTCTGTGGTATAGCAACTGGAAAAGATGAAGGGGTATGGACAGTGGGAAGAATAAGAGGGGATAAAAAGCAATCAGAAATGTCAGAAAAAACATAAAACTGAATAAGAAAGAAATTAAAATAATAGTACATGACTTAACTCTACAAAAGTAAACTACCAAGCTCTGATAATATTAACACTACTGGGACCAGCAGATAACGTAATGGCTATGTCGCTGGACTCCCATGTAGTCGACCGCGGTTTGTATCTGGGACCTGGTGGCTTAAATTCACGCCGGGTGCATGTGCGTGCATGCCCAAGATCCCGAGAGGAAAATGGAAGAGAAAGGATTGATTCCTCGCTTTCTGTCTCTCTGTCTGTCTCTGTCTTTCTGGTGAACACACGCACCCTACAGCAAAAACCTCTCCCCCAAAAAAGATGCTAATACTACTGATTCCATTGAAAGTAATGGTATAGAAGTGGAACGGGGAAGGGAAGCAGGAGTGGTATGGAAACTAAATCCTGGGGACCAGATGGCAGCACAATGGTAACACAACGGGACTCACACAGGGAAGGTCTGGGTCGGCATCCGAGGCCCTCCCTGGGGCCGGGGGTGGCAAGCCTTGGATATAAAATGTGAGGAGCATACAGAGCAGGGGTGTGCTGGCGATCCAGGCTGGCTGACTGTGGGGGCAGAGCGTGGAGACCCTGCGGGAGTGCCTCTCCCTCTCTCTCCCTTATTCATTCACAGAATAAATACATAAACTTAAAAAATTCTTAGCTATAATAGGAAGTCAACATACAATACCTAAAATTGATATATAATGAAATAAAATAACACACTTACTATATAGAAATATATAGTATAATATAAGGGAAAAAAACAGTTCTAAGAACAAAAAATAGTGGCCTTCTGGAATGGCATGGGGAAATAAAGATGTAGAACAAGAGAATGTTATTTTCCCTCCCCATAAGTATTTCGGTACTATTTAACTTTCTTAACACTGTAGATGCTGGGGGTTAAAATCTGAGTTCAAGAAAAAGAAAGAGAAAACCAATAGTTTCTAAAAGAAATAGTTCCTTAAGGAATGGGTGAGCCATTGTCAAAGCTCCAGAGTCTTTCTCCACGAGAAAGGCAGTAATGTTCACTGAACGGCTCCTGTGGACCGCTGCTGTCTTGTTTATTCCTCCCAATAATTACCCAGTGGACCTCCGATTCCATTTTCCTGAGGATTGAACTGAGGTCTCCCTGCTAATATGCAGCAGCCCAAAGATTTAAAACTAGGTCTGTCCATCTCCAAGTCAACAATCCTCCCTCTGCCACATTCCTCAGCAGCCTAACAAATTAACTGCTGTGAATTTACCCCTGAATAGAAACACCTTAACTGTTCCAGACAAACTAGGTTGCGTCCCCAGCCTTCCTTTCCGGCCTAAGCCCTGACCATGTCTCACTGCTCATTCCACAGACAGGATGATTAGTCCCCAAAACAGTCCCCATGTTCCTCTCCTCCTGGACTACTCAGACACAAGGTGCTTACCCCAGCCCAAGTGCATCTCTTCTCTTATCTACATCTTAGATCCACGCAAAAATAAATGCTCATGTTGTATCGCTCACTGGGGACTAGGAAGGGTGCGAAACTGTATATACTAAATGTTTGTACTTTCCTTAAAAGACATATGTACACAAGAGGGAAAGCGAAAGAAAATCCTAAGTCATTTCTGGATGGTGTGTTTATTGGCAAATTATTTTCTACTTTTCAAATTTTTGACAACCTGTAACAGTTTAAAAATCAGAAACCATTTAGAAAAAAATCTTAATCCACCTATTTTTCAAGGCTCTAAACATATACTAGCTTCATCCCACCTGGGAAAGCCTAAGGCAATTCTTACATTCTATTTTGTAATAAAATTATTTGTGTACTTGTTCTCTCCTAGCCTCGCCCTTAACCAAGCTGCTGAAGGACCATAATCTTATCTTATTCTTTGTATTCCCCACTGTTCCTCACAAAATTCATATTTTCAAATAATATTTAAGAGTTAGTTATTCCTTTGAAAATTGCTATTTTGATTATAGCAGATAGGAACTGTAAAAAAGCAGACACACTGCACTCCTCCGTGTTCATGTATTTGGTAGTTTGAAGAACACATAAATAATTTGGTAAATATCAACATTCCACACATAACTGCAATCTGGGAGTCACGTAATGGGTACAATATCAAGTAGTTTCTTATGTATTTCCCCTAGGGCAGAGAAAATGACTAAATACCACTTGCTTCCAGGCTTATTGCTGAAGGCAGGGAGGGGGTTTGAGTGCAGTCCCCAATACTGCAGCACCACCTTTGGCTCCTGTCTGTCCCCCTACGGGCCAAAATACACAGATGCTACAGCATTAGGAGAAAATGGAAAAGAAAGCAAAAACAAAAAAAATTAGCTAAAAGGTCTCCACCATTTTTCTATCTTTGTTCTCCTTTACTTCTGGGAAGCTATAAACTACTGATAAGGAAAAGTTGTAACAGTAACTTCTCTGGAGGTTACTGGAGCTAAACTGAGACCTGCCAAAGGATCTCAACTTAATGAACAGGAATGCGTGAGTTAGAAAATGAATATTTGCCTTTAAGATAAATAGCTGCATTTAAAATGCTTATCATTCTCCTATGATCACTTAAATAAATGAATTTTATAAGTTAATTAGAGAGGGCCAGCAGGTGGCATGGTGGTTAAGGCACTGGACTCCCACATGGCTGACTATGATTTGAGACCCAGACCTGGTGGTTTGCTTTCTCACTCCCCCCACTTCCCTCTCTCTCTCTTTCTCTCTGTCTCTCTCTGGCGAGCACACATGCCCTATTATAAATTAAAATTGTACATATATACACACACACACACACACACACAAACACACACATATATACATATATATTTTTTAAAGTTAATTAGAAGAACCAATAACAGAACCAATCATTTAGAAAACTCTGGGCTAGCAGGTGGCATGTTAGTAAAGGCGCTGGACTCCCACATGGGTGACCACAGTTCGAGTCCTGGACCTGGTGGCTTGCTTCCTCACTTTCCCACTCTCTCTGGTAAGCATGTGTGCCCTGTAGCAAACTTTAATAATAATACTAAATAAAATAAATAATTAAAATAAAGATCTACCTGCTTAATAGGAGACAAACTTTAGAAAAATCAGAGACCACATTGGGAGGTAGGCAAAGGCCAGGAAAGACCAGAAAAATATGACATATTCAGAGGGGTAAAAAGGAGAGTTAATGGATACACAGTAGATGTTCTCAAAGACAGAGGAGAGAACAAATGGAATAGAAAAAAGATTTTTTTTCTTCTAAGAGAGATTTTTGCTATAGGGTGCACATGCTCACGAGAGAGACAGAGAAAGGGACAGAAAGACAGAAAGTGAGCAATCACCCTCCAGGGAGGATGAACATGCCACAATCCCTTCTCCTCCATTCTCCTCTTGGGATTTTGGGCATGCACGCACATGCGCCAAGTGTGAGTTTCAAGCTGCCAAGTCTAACACAACTGTGGTCAGCCATGTGAGAGTCCAGCGATGTAACCACTACGCCATCTGCTGGTTCCCTCCAAAAAAAATTTTAAGGAAGGCAGTTTTCTAGAAATGAAGAAAGACAAGAATCAGGGTCTTTCGCTGTCAAGTTCAAAAGGGTTACGTTATGTTCTAGGAAAAATTTTAAATTTTCATAACTGAAAATAACCTAATGAAGGTACTAAGCTCCCAGGTCGAAGAATCTGCTAAGCCAGAAGACAACTGAGCCAGTGGGCCAAATAGTCATCTGTTTCTATAAATAGAGTGTTACTAAAACACAGCAAAGCCCATCCATTTATGGGTGGACTTCTCATCACATCTGCAGAGTTAAGTATCTGTGATAGAGATTGGTCCCTGCAAAGCCTAAACTAGTTACCACCTGGCCCTCTACAGAAATTGTCTGCCAAGCTGTTGCAACTCTCCAGGGAAAAGAAACAAGCTACCTACAAAGGAACGAATAATCAGACCAATCTCATATTCACCAACAGAACAAACAAGTGGCAGAGAACAGTGAGGCAAGGCTTAGAGAATTCTGGAGGGAAAAGAATGTGACCCAGTAATTCCAAAAGCAAGTTGTGGTTGTCCACATGTAAAGCAAGAGAAATACTTCTTTACTACAGAAATACCAAAGAGGTAAATACAAAGAGAAGAGTCAAAATAAAGAATTCATTAACAAATGGGGAAAATATGGGATGAAATAATCTGGGAGTACTCAATCTACTTAGCATGATATTAAGCATATATAAACCTGATAACTGCTGCTTATAAAACAGAATACTTAAATTAATAACTTGACAGAATATCATGATAAAAATGCTGTGCTATTCAAAGGAAATAAGGATAATCTATTCTATTTCTTTTAAGTTGTCAGAGGGACTTAAATTTTTTGAGAGAACACCTACATTATATAAAAATTAATAACTTGACAGAATATCGTGATAAAAATGCTGTGCTATTCAAAGGAAATAAGGATAATCTATTCTATTTCTTTTAAGTTGTCAGAGGGTGAGTATACTTGCTAGAGAGACAGAGAAAAAGAGAGGAAGCACAACAAGTGGGATATGGTCATGACACATCCCTTCTCCTCCATTTCTCCATCCTATTAGGATTTTCTACTTGCACAAACACACACCTGGTATGTTTTTCAAGCCACTGTGGCAGGATTCAAATCACGGTCAGCCATGTTGGAACCAGCTCTCTTAATCACTAGTCTGAGGGGCTAGCCCTACAAGCAATTTTAATAATGCCAAAAAAGCATTTAGTAAAATTTGACAATGATATCTATTTTTTTAAATGACCTTACACAACAGTATCAAGTGCTGACTGTGACTGTGTCTGGTTCTGCGGGTCCTGAATAGCACAGGGACTCCAGTGCTGGAGAGCTGCTCTAGGGCTGAGTTCCAAGGGGGCCCAGTTTCAGAGCAACTCCACCAAACCTCTGTAGGCCTTGACTGGTGAGAGAACTGAAGCAGGGAAATCACCTTTTCAGGGAGAACAGTGTTAGTGTTTGGTGTGAGAAGGTAAAGTTGTTCTCATTCACACTGAAAACTCAGCTCTCCAGAGGCGCATTCTCCAAGGGTTCTGTACACATTGTGTGACTATATGTTCCGGTTGGCCCAGACAGTCCTGGTTTACAACTGCTGTCCTGACTTAATTACTAAAAGCACTCCTTTTAGTCATTAAAAAAAAGAAGGAAATCCAGCCATTTCCAGCAACACAGATGAGCCAAGAGGACATCATACTGAATGAAATAAGCCAGACAGAGAGTGAAAGATATTACATGATCTCACTCACGTGTGGAATCTAAAAAAGTAGCATTTCCAGAAACAGAGAGAAGAATGGTGGTTGCTAGGGCTGGGGGTAGGGAAAATGGAGAAGAAGGCTACAACTTTCTGTTATAAGATGAATAAGTTCTTGGGATCTAACATATACTTGAAATTTGCTAAGGAAGCAGATCTTAAGTTTTTTACCACAGTAATGAAAAAAATGGTAACTTTGCAAAGTGGTGAATAGGAAACTAACTAGATAGTGATCATTGTTTGACAATGTATTCGTGTATTAAATCATCATTAATATATATATATATATATATATATAATTTTATCTGTCAAATACACCTCAATAGAGCAGGAGGGAGAAAACACTGCCTCAACAAAAGTGTCTTATTTAGTAATCAATTATCCAGTCAAATTCCGTTCAAATAGGCCTGGTGATAAAGGAGCTGGACCACACATGACCAACTGCATGATTTGAGTCTGGACCCAGCGGCTTGAAAACATGCCAGGTGCATATACAGGCATGTCCAAAATCCCAAAAGGAGGAAGAGATAGAGCAGGAGGGATTGCAGCATGATCCTCCACAGAGGTTGCTTTCTCACTTTCCCTCTCTCTCTGTGTTTCTCTGCCTCTCTCTCTGGAGAGCACATGTGCCTTCTAGCAAATTTTTTTTAAAAAGTGGGGAAAAAAAATTCAGGGGGCCAGCAGATGGCACAGCAGTTACGTCGCTGGACTCCCACACGGCCGACCGAGGACATGGCCAACTGTGGTTCAAGTCTCAGACCCAGTGGCTTCAAAATCATGCTGGGCATATGTGTGTGTGTGTGTGTGTGTGTGTGTGCCCAAGGTCTCGGGAGGAAAATAGAGAAGAAGGGATTGTGGCATGGCCATCCCACCAGGGGGTGATTTCTCACTTTCCCTCTCATTGTCTCTGTCTCTCTCCAACAACTGCACACACCCTAAGGCAAAAATCTCTTTTAAAATATTCAGTATGCTGAAATTGAATAATATTTATATGTATGGTAAGAATTTATATATGCATTTGTCTGCATATTCATCATTATCTAGCTATAGCTTTCAAAAAAATGATTAAGGCCTGGTCTCAGCACACCCATCTTTCCTAAAACAAATTGAAATATCAGACACAACTCTTAAATATAAGAACTTCTTATGATATAATTTTATCATTGGGAACATACCATCATATAAACAAAACCAGTACTACATCTCAGGAGCCAAGAGAGGAAAGCGTTTTCAGAACAGGAGAGAAGAAAACAGTGTTATCAACTGTGCTTGACTGAGAGAGAGATGGTAAACTGCTGCCCGGCCTTCAAGCCTGGTGATAACACAGTTGTCAGAGACCTTCGGTACAGGGGCTCAGGAGAACATTACTCTGGGTTTAACGTTAGGAGGGCTGGCAAAATACGCGACCAGGAGCAGGAGAAGAAGTGCTGGCTACAGACTGTGTTCTGTCCGACATGAATAGCTGGGGAATAGCTTTACTGCTCCTTCTTCCTGTTTAACCAGTGGTTTTGTGTATGGACGGGAATGAGAGCACTATAAAAACCTTTTTGTTGAAAATCACTGCAAAATAATATGCTACCTAATGTTCTCGATAAGGGTCAAAACCTATCAAATGGTATACTTATGATTTGTATAGTTCTCAAAATATAAATTTTATCTCAAAGAATAAATCATAAACCAATATTAAACTCTACTATAAGAATGCCAAAGTAGGGGCCAGAAGGTGGCATGGCTGACCATGGTTCGAGTCCTGGACCTGGCGGTTTGCTTTCTCACTTTCCTTCTCTCTCCCTCTCTCTCTGTCTCTCTCTAGGCAAACTAAAAAGTAATAATAATAAATTAAATTAAATAAATTTTCAAAGAATTATTTTATTTAACTTTATTTATTCATTTACTTTATTTTTTTTTAATTTGACCAGAAAGGAACAGAGCAAGAGAGTGAGAGAGAGAGGGGGAAAGTGAGAAAGCAAACCACCAGGTCAGGGACTCAAACCGCAGTCAGCCATGTGGGAGTTCAGCGCCCTTAACTACCACACCACCTGCTGGCCCCCCTAAATAATTATTTTTTAAAAAGAAAGCCAAAGTGTTTAATAATGAAGTATACTTAATTCTGTACCTTAGTTTGAAATGCATCAAAAAAAAAAAACATATGAACTGATGGATGGATAGAGGAATGGATAGGTAGGAAGATCTGTGATAAAGTAAATGTGGCAAAATGTGAATGATAGAATCTGGATGATGCATTCGCTATACTCATTTTAACTTCTCTATATTTTGAAAATTTGAAAATTAACATATAAAATGATAAAAAAAACATGTAAGCACCATAAAGTTAAATATTTACTTGCAATCTACGTAATTTAACCAGCATTAAGACAGTCTAAAGACTGAAGACATAGGAGGCCTTATCTTTATAAGGAGTCCCAGGAAGAGCATGGGCCGGCACTCACCTACAGACTGGGAGGTGAACGCTGCCACGATCTGAGGACTGGCCAGGGCCTCCAGCCTGTTCTTTAGCGCCTCCAAGTGCACGCATTTTTCGGAGTAGTCTGGAGTATCAACCAGCATCATTAGGCTGTTTTGCATGCCTGTTAGCTTGGCAGAAATCACTGCTATGTCCTATAAAAAGACCAGAAGAGGATATTTAGTGCATAAGACCCCTGCAACCTCCTTAGAGACTGGATGAAATGTATGAAATGTCAACTCATAAAGGAAGAAAATAACCCATAAACATATTATATTCAACATTTTTAGCATTCAAATAAATGCACATTAAAACGAAAAAGTTCCATTTGCAGCCTAATGAATTAGAAGAGCTTTCAAAAAATTATGGGACCAGCAGATGGCATAATGGTTACGTTGCTGGACTTCATGCAGTCTACCACAGTTTGAGTCCTGGACTGGGCGCTTAAACTTGTGCTGGGCACGTGTGTGTGTGTGCCCAAGATGCTGAGAGGAGAATGGAGAAGGGACTCCAGTTTTGCCAACACCCCCGGGGGTTGATTTCTCACTTTCTGTCTCTTTATCTCTCTCTGTCTTTCCAGTAAGCACATGCGCCCTATAGCAAAAACCTCTCCCCAAAAAAAAAAAAATTACAATAGTTATTGTTGGTGAAAGTACAAAGAAAATAGACATCTGTCAGGTATTATAATTTTACACCATCTTTCTGAAAGACAATTTAACAAAACGTGCTATGTAATCTTAAGAATACTGACATCCCAGGTCAGTTCAACGGCATAGCAGTAATACACTACTTAAGAGAAGCTGAATTCCATATGGCTACTACAGCTCAAATCTCTGGCCCAGTCACCCTGAGACATGCCATGTAGGCACACAAGTGCCAAAGGTCTGACCAGCTGAAGGACCGAAGGAAGAGAATCATGACATGACCAGACCCTGGTGAAAAGTAGTTCTCATTCTCTTTCTGCTGCATATGCACAAGTTCTATCACGAATTAAGAACAAAAATTTTAACTGATGTTTTCACATCTAGCCCAGCCATGATGGCACAGGCAGTAGGATACCACTGTGTGATACTAGAGCCACATGAGAGGCCCAGGTTCAGATTCCAGGTCAACCTGAGCATGCCAGCGTATGCCTGGCTGATTAGGAAGTTCGCGAGAGGATCATGGGGAGAATTGCCAAGGGTTCCCCTCTCTCAACATAAATAAATAAACTTTAAAAATTATATTCATGGGGCCAGCAGGTGGTGTGGTAGTTAAGGTGCTGGATTCCCATATGGATGACCACGGTTTGAGCTCTGGACCCGGCAACCTGAAAATCTTATTAGGTACATATATGCCCAAAATCCCAAGACCAGAATGGAGAAGTGATTATGGTGTGGCCATGCTCCCTGGGGGTGATTTCTCATTTTCCTTTTCTCTGTTTCTCTTCAATGAGCACACCCACCCCACCACCCCATCGCTAAAAAAAAAAAAATTATATAGCCTTTAACTTGGTATTTTTTCATCTAGAATTTATCCTAAGGAAATAATCAGACAGACATGAAGATATTAAAATATTATATTTAACTAATGTGATTTTGTTATAATGAAAACTTAGCAACTTAAATCTTCCATGTTAACAAATAAAATATAAATTACGGGTCACTCATAATGCTTTGTGGAATATTGTATAGTGATGAAAAAATTGTGGTTTTGGAAAGTACAAATAACAACAAAATGCTTATAACTTACTATTAAGTGAAACAAGCACCATAAGAAAAGTATATAGACAGGGGCCAGCAGTTGGCGTAATGGCTATGTCGCTGGACTCCCATGTAGTTGACAGTGGTTCGAGTACCAGACCCAGTGGCTTAAACTCACATGGGGTGTGTGTACGTGCGTGCGTGCCCAAGACCCCTAGAGGAGAATGGAGGAGAAGGGATTGCGGCGTGGCCATCTCCCCCGGAGGGTGATTTCTCGCTTTCTGTCTCTCTGTCTGTCTCTGTCTTTCTGGTGAGTGCATATGCCCTATAGCTAAAACCTCTTCCCAGCAAAAAATAAATAAATAAATAAAATAAAAGAATTAAGAAAGAATTAACTGATCATATGTCATTTCTCTATTTAATGAGTATAATCTCATTTCTCTATAACATGCCAGACGCTGTATTAGACATTTGAGACCTAAAGATGAATAAGATGATATTTACAAAGATGAGTTCACAATGTATTGGGATAGAAAAATTTTGATACAATTTCAGTAAATGGCTCAAGTATTACGGGAGCACAGGTGAGGGAACAATTAATTTTGCCTGTGAGCAGCCAGCAGGGAGAGCCATGAAAGGAAGGAATCAGTGAGGGCCCGCAGATGGCATAGTGGTTACAATGACAGACTTCCACATGGCCAAACAGGCATGCGTGCATCTGTGCCCACAATCCCAGACGGAGAATAGAAGAGAAGGGATTGCAGCCATCCCCCTGGGGGGGGATTTCTCATTTTCCCTCTCACTGTCTCTATCTCTGTCTCTCTCTGGTGAGTACACATGCCCGATGGCAAAAACCTCTTTAAAAAAAAAGAAAGGCCGATACTCTAGCTGGACATGAGGGACAAGTGAGGATGTACTCTACTACAAAGAAAAACAGAAGTGGCTTCCCATCTAGAGTCAACTGCACAGTGGCTTAATCATGCATGTTATCATCAATAATATTCCATTTCTACTTTCATACATATGCATATGTATATACATGTTTTTTACCCCATGTTTGACCCTCTGCCCTTTCCCACTCTCTTATTACAATATCTCTGCTACATACAGTTGTCTTCCATTCTTTTTCCCCCAACATTTTGTTGATCACACAATTTCATAAGTAATCTAACTACTTTCGATAGCAAGTTCAGCAGGTAATTTCAAGAAGAGCAGTTTTGAACTGGTAATGATATTTCCTTGAAACTTAAAGCCTAGAAACAGGCTAGTATTCTGTTCAAATAGTAGGTATGTTCATGTATAGGTATACATCAGCTGTGCTAGCTATTGGATATAGTTAGACTAATTAAGTTCATTAGCAAATCAATTATAACATGTATGTTGATGTGCTTGATTGAGCCAATACACAGTGTATTTTGGATGGGGAAAAAAAAAAGTGGCATAGCACAGGTGGAGAACTAAGGCGCGAAAGGGAACAGTGTGGTAACAGTCGGAATAGTCCCAAGGTGGAAATGATAGGGAGGGAGTGGCCAGAGAAAAAGCTGAAAAGCAAGCCCCAACCCTGTTGTGAAAGACATTAATGGGCTTGGAATTTCTCCAGTGGCAAGTGGAGAACTGTTGGTTCAGCCTCAGTAGTGTGCACTGGACGGTGCTGCTCAGCAGGTCGAGGCCAGAGGGGAGGCCAAGGTTCAGTTCTCTAAAGAGCTTGGTATAGAGACCAGCAGATGGCATAATGATAACATCGCTGGACTCCCTTGTATTGACTGCAGTTTGAGTCCTGGACCTCGCAGCTTAAAACTCACAACGGGTGCCTGCGTGTGTGTGCCCAAAATCCTGAGAGGAGAATGAAGTAGACGGGATTGCAGCGTGACCATTCTCCCCTGGGGACTGATTACTTGCTTTCGGTCTCTCTGTCTTTCCAGCACCCTATAGCATGCACCCTACAGCAAAAAACTCTAAAAAAGAAAAGAAAAGGAAAGGAAAGGAAGAGCTGGGTGCAGTGGCACATGCCTTTAGTCCCAGCTACTCAAGAGGTTGAGGAAGGAGAATCATGACGTGGCAAGACCCTGTCTCCAAAACACCTCCCACCCTCCCACACACAAAGATGCACAAAGAAAATGGGGAACTGTTGAAAGTTAAAATAGAGGGAAGAGGGACCAGCAGGTGGCATAGTGTTTAAGGCGCTGGACTCCCATATGGGCGACAGTAGTTTGCATCCCCAACCTGGTGGCTTGAAATTTATGCTGGCACATGTGCAATATGTGCCCAAAACTCCAGGAGAACACAGAAGAGATTTCAACATGGCCATCTCCCCAGGGGGTGATGTCTCACTTCCCCTCTCATTGTCTCTTTCTTGTGAGCGCATGTACCCTATAACAAAAACCTTAAAAAAAAATAGAGAGAAAGAGAGGGAAACAGGGAAAAGGCATGTGCCAATCTATGTGTTGAAAGATTACTGTGGTCGCATATATATAATAAATCAGTGGTGTGTGTACATGCATTCCCAAGATCCCAGCAGAAGAATGGAGAAGGAGTTGTGTGATGGCCATCTCCCCAGGGAGTGAGTTCTCACTTTCCCTGTCACTGTCTCTTTGTCTCTCTGTCTTGCACATGCACCCTATGGCAAAAACATCCCCCCCAGAAAAGAATTTTTTTTAAAGAGATAAGTAATTCACTTTGGTTTACAGTTAAAAATGAGTTTTGGGGGGCCAAAGCTGATGTAGTGTTTAAGGTACTGGATTCCCATGTGTCTGACCACAGATCAAATCCCTGACCTGGCAGTTTGAAAATCACTCTAGACACGTGTAAGTGCATGCTCCAAATCCCAAGAGTAGCCTGGAGAAGGAATTGTGGCATGGCTCTCCCCCTTGGTGGGTAATTTCTCACTTTCCTCCTCTCTCTCTTTTACTCTGGTGTATGCACATAGCTTCTGACAAAAACCTAAAAGAAAAAGAAATGAGTGTTTTGCCCAGCTGCAGTGGCACAAATGGGAGGGCACTGTCGTAGGGTGGCCAAGGCCACAGGGGAGCCCAAGTTCAGCTCCCAGCCCTAACCACACAGGCCGGGCACAGTGGCATGCACCTATGGTCACAGTTAGCAGGAAGGCTGTGGCAGGAGGAGTGTGACAAGACCCTGTCAAGACATCTCTGTCTCTTCCTCCCATGTTCTTTCTCGCTCATTAAATTTTTTTAAATCGGGACTGGGGTAACGGCTATGTCACTGGACTCCCATGTAGTCAACCACGGTTCAAGTCCCGTACCCAGTGGCTTAAACTCATACCGGGTGTATGTGCGTGCATGCCCAAGATCCCAAGAGGGGAATGGAGGAGAAGGGACTGTGGCATGGCCATCTCGCTGGGGAAATGGAAAATTGAAAATAATAATAATAATAAATAAAATTAAAAATTCTAAAAAAAAAATTAAAAAAAAATCTTTTTAGTAAAAGATCATCTCACTTCATCCTTATATAGCTAGGTATCAGAAGTGTTGGCATTTCTCTTATCCAAAATGCTTGGGACTAAGAAGTGTTTCACATTTCCGACACTTTTGGATTTTGGAATATTTGCATGGACATATACAGAAACCTTGGGGATGGGAGCCAAGTCTCAACATTCATTTAAATTTCATATATGCCTTATACCCATAGCATTAACAATAGGTAATTTTACATGATATTTCTCCACTGCAAGGTTTTGACTATGACCCTGCAGTGGTACAAATGGGAGGGCACTGCTGTAGGGTGAGGAATTTTCCATTTGTGGTGTGTCACACTGGTGTGAAAAAAGTTTTGAATTTTGGAGTGTTTCATATTTGGACTAGGAATGGTCAATCTGTACTCTCCACACTTGGCAGCTGCAGAGGGTTAAAGAACTTGCCAAGGTCCCACGTGTGGTGTCCCTACCCACGCCCATGCTTTCCTACCCCTTCCCATTTCCTCTGCCTATGCTGTTTTTTTTTTAGATTTTTTTTGCTATAGGGCACGTGTGCTAGCTAAAGAGACAGGGAGAGAGACAGAGAGAAAGTGAGAAATCACTCCCCAGTGGAGATGGCCATGCCACAATCCCTTCTCCTCTATCTTCCTCTTGGGATTCTGGGCACGCATGCACACATGCCTGGTGTGAGTTTTAAGCCAGCGGGTCTGGGACTTGAACCACCGTCGACGATGTGGGAGGCCAGGAGATGTAACCATTATGCCATCTGCTAGTCCACTGTGTACTTTTAAAAACATAAGTAAAAGTCTGTTTACTTATTTTTTTAATGAGAGGAAGAGCAATAAGGCCCTCAACACTCTTCAAGCCACGATCCAACCCTAGCCTAAGACAAC